TGTCTAGTCCTCTCTTTGGTGCAGACTGAATTCTATCAGTCAGGTTGTAATGTGGCCACCATTCTAGATATCTCGCTTTCACGGTACACATTGATTTGATGATATTAGATGGTTGGAGGTAATCGGAAGAGAGCCTTGGACCTAGGTTTCGTGCTTGTTGGCACTCACCAGTCAGCAAGGTGTATCTGCAACCTTGAAGGAACTCATGTCCCTTCTGAGATTCGAACCCGCGTCACCCAGTGGACCATATATATATATGGTCCAGTGATTAAGTGTTTTACTATACTTTAAAAGTCGAACTGAACTCCCTTTCTCAGGTTCTTACAGAAATAGAGTGGAATTTTTTCCTGATAAAAATAGTCTGTCTGTGGTTAACTGAATGGAATTACAAAACTGTGGTTATCCTTTCACTCAATAACTAACCCCCCTATTTTTCGACTAAGCAGTTTTCGTCATGATAATTTAAAATTTTAATTCTTCATCCTAACAGTTCTCATACATTTTCCCACCAATTTTTTAACTTACCTATAGGCTGGTTTTGACGAACTATTCTGATTTATTATTAGCATTTACGTAAATTTCTCTCCCTAATTATCATAATGGAAATATTTAAATTATTGTCAGTAATAAGATTTCTCCTCATGTTAGAATATTCACTCCAGTCTTAGTATCGTTGGTTTAATGCATGATGTCTTTGTACCGTTTACTCACCAAGTGCACTCTACAACCTTGGACTAAGCTATGCATATTCTTTCCCCTCATTGTATGAATATATTATGACTAATCCTCATCATCGTCATTCATTTCACATTATTTTAAAACTACAGTCAGCTCATCTCGTTTGTCATACAAACACTATTTGTTGTTTTACCCTATCAGTTGAAACTTATTTGATTTGAAGCCTTTAATCGTATTCTGCAATAAATGAGATATTTCACCACATACCTGGCTGTTATTATAGAGATAAATTTTACTTTGTGAACTATCAATAGAAACCTGAGAAAGGGAAACTATTGGAGAGAATATCTTTCGTTTAATCCGGCTTTTATCTCACAATATAGAGATGTTTTGAACTCTGAAATAGGATAATTTTACCCTGCAGCTTAATGCTCATGTATATGATATTGGATAGGAGCGATAAATATTTAATTTCTTGATAATAGGATGAATTTTTAGACACATACCGAAAATTATGTTATAACTATTCATTTCAGATAAATTAAAATCTAAATGCACTGTACTGTGAGTTATAGTACTTATGTGTCTGTTCTTTGAAAATTTGATGAGGTAATTAAATTCCATGTAGGCCACTGTTCACCACGTAATAACCTGCCTTTATTATTATTGGTTAAACTTCAGACTACTTAATAACTTATCAGTAGTGTGAAAAAGAATAAAAAGGAAACTGTTCTGTCAGGTATTCAGTCTACATTAGTGTAATGTTTTATAGAAAATATATTCCGCGTTTCTTGTTTTTAGTCGAGCAAACTCTATTTTTGCATTTACCATTATGGCTAATTGTTTTGTCAGTCATATTTGTTGACATAAAGCCTACGAGCTTACCTTGTCACCGGAAGGTCCTGGGTCCGAACTCAGATGGGTGCGTACTGTAAAGAGTCCCAAACCAGGATGAAACAGCTGTCCAGTACTTCCAGGTTTTTCAATGGTTGTCTAACCGTTACCAGCTCGTGGTTAAATCTTGTAACTAATCAAATCGAATCCCTGCAGACCAACATTTGAATAAAATCTTAAGCTATATAGTTATTTCATCTTTTTCCTACTTTATTCATTTACCGGACAGTATTCGCTCTTTCACGACAGGAATTTGGTATATTTTCTTGCAGGGGCATAAAATTTGTGTAACTGTTTTGTTTTTTGTATCGATAAGGTTAAAGAGAAAAGTCAGAGTGAACTAGAGAAAAGGATAAGTAAGCTACGGTTCTAGGAAGAAAGAAGAGACAAGACAAGGAATGGCTCTCAACGGACACTTGGAAATTAATAGAAGAGAGGAGAATGGTGAAAGAGAAAATGATTCAATGCAAGGACGGACAGGACAAGGAGATGATGAGCTCAACTTACAAAGCATTGGACAAAGAAGTGAAGAAAAGTGCTAGGAAGGACAAAAGACGATTCTACGACAATCTAGCTACTGAAGCTGAAAAGGCAGCAGGCAAAAGGGACCTGAGGACACTATATCAGATAACCAAATCTCTATCCGGGAAGAGACCAACACAAGCGAAACCTATAAAAGACAGCCAAGGGAAGCCCATTACCAAGGAAGAAAAACAGATTAAACAATGGGCGGATCACTTCAAAGGACTCTTAAACAGACCATCACCTGCAACCCGTCCAGAAATACCAACAACAGCGCACACACAACTGCAAGTTGACACCAATCCTCCAACGAAAGCTGAAGTCTTGAATGCAATCAAACTTCTGAAAGCTGGAAAAACAGCCGGACCAGATGGAATACCCCCTGAAGCACTGAAAGCAGACCCAGAGACGACAGCAGACATGCTGACTCCATTATTGCAAAAGGTCTGGAAGGAGGGAAAGGTGCCTACTGACTGGAGGAAAGGTTACCTCGTGAAACTACCAAAGAAGGGCGACTTAGGACTCACTCTGCAAGAACTGGCGAGGAATCATGCTCCTATCGACGCCAAGTAAAATCCTGAGTCGCATCATCCTGGAGAGATTAAAGGACGCACTGGAGACAGAACTCCGACCAGAACAAGCTGGATTCAGGAAAGGCAAATCATGTACTGACCAAATTGCAACTCTACGCATCATCATCGAACAAAGCATGGAATGGCAATCAAACCTCTACCTCAACTTTATAGACTTTGAGAAGGCCTTCGACAGCGTTGATCGTGAAGTAATTTGGAAATTACTCGAGTACTATGGCGTACCCCAAATATTCATCAACCTTATTCAACAGCTGTACGACAACGGCACCTGCCAAGTGATCCACAACGGAAGACTCAGCGAGGCGTTTGGAGTAAACACAGGAGTCAGACAAGGGTGCTTACTATCACCAATGATATTCCTAATTGTGGTGGACTGACTGGATTATGCGTCAGACTGTGGGAAACGAGAAGACAGGAATATCCTGGACCGACGTGAAGAACCTAGAAGACCTGGATTTCGCGGATGACTTATGTTTGATGTCACACACAATCGAAGACTTACAAGCGAAAACCGACAAACTGGTCGAAGAAGCAGCCGGCGAAGACAGGACTCCAGGTGAACATAGACAAGACGGAGGTTATGAAAATAACCAACCAACAACAGCAACAACATCCAACGTCAATCACCATCAACGGGAGGGATTTGAAAGAGGTAACTTCATTCACTTATCTAGGGAGCATTGTCTCAACTACAGGAGGAGCGGACGGACGAGGATGTCAAATCGAGCGAGAATCGGGAAGGCGAGAAACACATTCATCAGCCTGAAATCAATCTGGAAATCTTCGTCACTCAGCATCAACAACAAAATTCGGATTTTCAATACAAACGTCAAGTCAGTCAGTTCTTCTATACGGATCAGAAACTTGGCGGGACACAAAGAATATTTCCAAAAGGCTGCAGACCTTTATTAACAACTGTCTTCGCTCAATACTGAAGATCAGATGGCCGGAAAGAATCACCAACAAGGAATTATGGGAACAAACAAAGCAAGAACCAATCGCCCAACAAATATGCAGGAGAAAGTGGAGATGGATCGGACACTCGCTGAGGAGACCGCTGGGTGACATCGCGCGCCAAGCCCTCGAGTGGAACCCGAAAGGGAAGCGGCGTGTGGGACGTCAGTGCAAGGGTGACATGGAGGAGATCGTGTGAAGAGGAGTTGAAACAGTATGGGCTAACATGGATTCAGGTGAAAAGTGCAGCAGAAGACAGAAGTCAAGTGGAGACGTGCAGTTGAAGCCCTGTGTTCCACTAGGAACCCAAAGGAGCAATAATAATAATAAGCTACGATAATCAGGTCGCCAGTATACTAAGCTCTAATATGTTTTTTTTGTGTGATTAAGCTTCATAACCATTTTACTTAGTTAAGTTCTTCTTTCTGTGAATGTATTATTTTCGTGAAAGCTCTACAGTCTTTATCGTAGCTGTTTTATCTATTTGAAGATTATTGTTTCTTATTCGTGGAGACTTTAATATTCTTATTGTAATTCAGATTCAGAGATAAGGAGAGATTTCGTATTAGTTTGTTTATGAGATGGTATCACACAATGAAACAGTATTATTTACTGGATGACACAGTTTCGAACAAAATTTATTGTTCATAATCATACCAATCAATTATAATCACATGACTTGGAAACTTGAGTTTTATAGTTTTCTTTGTTTTCTCCTATTTGTCGTAGGGGTAGTAGAATTTTTCAGATATCAGGGACAAATGATGAATCATTCCTATTACATGTATTTGCAGTTGATTCGATAAACAAAACTGTCATCAATCTCTCTCTATACCCTGTGATATTAGATTTTAAAACTGTTATCTTATCCCATCCTATTGTATGGTTGTGGGTAATTACATGTAGTGCTTACTATAGCTGAACTATTCTCTAGATTTCTTATCTTTTTCCGGTCAACTAATCTAGATGTTGCTAGGTTTTTATGTTCGGCTAGTCTGACTGCCCCTGTTCTACTAGTTTGACCTATGTGTTTGACTTGAAAATCATTTCAGCAGGGTGTTAGAGAAACTAAATTGTTTTGTTTTAAAGGCTACACAGGATTGATCCCTTAACTGACAAAGCTTGTTTCTAATTGAGTTTGTGGGTTTGAATACCACTTTTATTCCTGCCTTGTTAAGAATTCTGTGTAGGGCTTCCGAGGTTCCTTCCTTGTATGGAATCCATGTTACAACAAATTGATTGCCTTAGTTTTTACAATTGTACTTACCATTGATTAATAAATTCACCTGATATTTTTACTCTCCTCTCACTTGACGTAATAATGACGTAATGCTTTAATCGCCATTTTTGTTGTTTTAGTCTGAACTAACAGAACTTCGAATAAAAGAAGCCAATATGTCAAAAGTTGATGATGATGATGATGATAATATTATGATTAACAAAGATAACAATGTTGATCCTTCGGACACTCATAACTCTAATAGAATTGAACTGAATAATCGTGTACAATTACTGGAAAATGAATTAAGTAAAATGTGGAGGATGACGAGTTTATTGAAATCACAACCTAGTGATATTGGATCAGATGGTCAAAATACTATTACAACAAATATCTGTTTAAATTCTTTTGTCACTTTTCCGAGAGCATTTTCAAAGGAAATGAAACAGGTGAGTATAATTGCATATATTCTTATATGATACTTGATCATGATTATGACTATTATCTTATTGGATATTCGACTTTACATCATGAATGTGTTTAAGAGTATTTTAGTTCAGTAAAACGAATAACAAAAATATTAAGTAATCTGGAAATGCCAACTGTCTTAAACTGTTAAGCGCTTTTGTACATATAATGTAAGTCTATGAAAGATGATTCAAAATGTTGAATAGGGATTGTGTAAATACGAGAACATATTTTCGAAGAAACGATTATTATCAGTATGAGCATAACAAGAGAATAGTATAATAGAAAAGATTTGTAACTCAGGTGGATGATTCGCAATTAATAGTGTTCTCTGAGTTGGTTGGTTTAGTTGCGGAGTTTTCGTCGTCCTTCTGGACAACATCTTCAGCGCAGTATTTAGCATAAAGTCAAATGATTTAAAAATCTCCATGAGTGATGATACAATTGCATCTCCTGGTGACCAACCATCTTCACATATGTATTGACCGTTTTCTATTGACTTGGATTTTAAACTTTCCGGTCACCTGATTTACTTTTTGTTAGTTGGTATATTTCGTCTATATTAACGTGTTTGTCAATTGCATTTTCGTTTGAGTACCAGGCTTCTAGGAATTCCTTGGCACTTTTGGTGTTTCGTCTGTCTAAGATTTTCACATTATCCCAATCAAATTGATGTCCATAATCGTCTGTATGCATTGATACTAAAGAATATATATCATGTCTTTTCACGGCTGATTTGTGTTTTTGGATTCGGATTCGAAGGGGACGCCCACTTTGGCCGATGTAATGTCTGTTACAATTCATTCAATTTATTTTGTAAATGTTATTATTTTTATCTCCTTTTTCTGTTGGATCCTACCATACATCAGAAATATCTTTGAAATAACGGCTAGAATAATGAAACCGTTTGATATAGATGTAGCACACAAACCAGTCGAATCGCTTAATTCGATCTTATGCAAACCAAAAGATCCAACAAAAAAAGCGGATAAAATTAACACCATTTACAAAATAAATTGTATGAACTGTAACAAGCATTACATCGGCCAAAGTGGGCGTCCCCTTCGAATCCGAATCCAAAAACACAAATCAGCCGTGAAAATACATGATATATATTCTTTAGTATCAATGCATACAGACGATTATGGACATCAATTTGATTGGGATAATGTGAAAATCTTAGACAGAGGAAACACCAAAAGTGCCAGGGAATCCCTAGAAGCCTGGTACTCAGACGAAAATGCAATTGACAAACACGTTAATATAGACGAAATATACCAACTAACAAAAAGTAAATCAGGTGACCAGAAAGTTTAAAATCCAAGTCAATAGAAAACGGTCAATACATATGTGAAGATGGTTGGTCACCAGGAGATGCAATTGTATCATCATTCATGGAGATTTTTAAATCATTTGACTTTATGCTAAATACTGCGCTGAAGATGTTGTCCAGAAGGACGACGAAAACTCCGCAACCAAACCAACCAACTCAGAGAACACTATTAGTTGCAAGAGAATAGTATGTAAAGAATGAATAGAATAGGAGCAGGAGGGTGATGTTTTTTTAAAACAATGAAAGATTAAGATCATGGATGGAGAAGAGTCTTTTCTCATATCTTTATGTTCTGAGTAGAATATACGACTTCAAGCTATGAGGTTTGAAGTTTCAGTAGCAGCGGTTCTCCTTCTTTTCTCATACGGGGTGGGGTTGCTAGCCCCACGTTCTACCTTCTCCCTTTGCCGGGCTTACTACTGGGAAGGTGAGGTTTAAGGTTTAAAAGAGTCTTTTTTATATATCTAAGGGTTTATTCCTTTTGTTTCAATAAATATGGCTTCATAAATGAAGGTAAGGTGAAATATGTCCTTATTTTGCCTGTTTATTTTTCATCATGTCAGGAATTCTGAAGAAAAGGATTGTTGAGATTGAATAAACAGTGTTGATAAGATGTTGAATCAGCCACTACTACCTCGTTATACCTACGAATTTTATTTTGAGTATTTAAGCCATCAAATGCATAGAAGAGCCAGGGGTGGTCAAACCAAAACATGGCTTCATCAGTCAATGCAATCCACAACACAGTTAGTTTAAGCCACGTAGGAAGATATAGACTTCCTGATTGGGGTCCTCGGGACGGTAAAAACCAATGGCTGGAGACAATTAGTGATATGTCTCAAAATCGTTTGCAGTGGCACAGATCCATCCACTCCTTGTGACTTATGATTTCCAATGAAACTATATTGTCCTTCGATATTACTATTCTTTTTGCCGGATATCTCTGTTGACTGTCTCTGTTATGCTTTTCTTTTTACTTTCCTCTCTGGCTTTGTGTGTTGAGTGAAGTGTGGCGACTCGAACTGCTGCACACCAGCGCAAAGTTCTATGTTGAAACCAGACAGACAGACAGACAGAACGTTTACTGGCCAGTTGCTTTTCATTTCAAATTTACATTTCCTTTTTATGTTTTGATTAAAGTGGCTTTAACAGAGTTTATTTGATTCTATGTAGAATAGTTTGCAAAATTCAGTATGAATATAGTATAAAAGTCATTCAATATTTTGTCATCATTTTTCATGTGTTATGAACATTTGAAGTTTAATAAAAGGTATATACTTTATTATTAAGTAGGCATACGCTCATATAGCCAGTTAGAAAGTAACGTGATAATCGTTAAAGGCGATGTAACACAAAATGTAACCTTTCTAACAACAAGTGCTAAATTCTAAGAGATATTTGCAATACAAAGCAAACTAAATACCTTAATTGGTTGATAGTTCCTTAAAATCTTTTTTCAACCAGTTCCTCTAATATATCATATAATTCATACGTAGACTACTCACAATAATGTATGAGTAGTCCTCTTATTTTTCCTCATGTGCTCTATTGAAATGTGAAATATTGAACTGATGCACATCTGCCTAGAGTGTTCCATCATTCGTCAGTTTGTCAAACAGGTCATGGTCGATTACTTTAATATCAGCATAATGTGACAAGTCGGGAAATCCCTTCTCTATAGGTAATATTAAAACCGATATTTGGAATGATTGTTTTTGGGTGAATAATTTAGTGTATGTAAGAAATGTTTTATCGAGAATATCAACATGTTTCACTAGGAACTTGATATAGTCTTTGAAATGTTCAGGTAGAACTAAGTACTCAGTGGTTGATGATGACTAGCCGTGGAATCCAGGACTCACATTTCATCCTATTTGGGACTCGTCATCTGGATGTGCCTGCATTTTCCAGTTAATGGTGGTGACGAGTCCCAAGTTAGACGAAATGCGCATCCTGGATTCTACTGCTAGTCGCTATCAACCAATCGACTTCAAGTTACATGACCAGACATTGTCGAAGCATCTGCACAAGGAGTTGACATGTCAACATGAGACCGAGCACTTCGGTCCCATCAATCGATGGGAAAATCTAAATTGAATTAAAAAAAAATTAAGTAATGTTTAAGACATATCAAACTTAGCATTATTCATGTGTATTATATAACTGTTGACATAAGTTCATAAACATATTTATAATGAATTCTATAGGTGGAGGGGAACCAGGGAATTCAATCCCTTTATATAATTCCGTTATTATGCATCTTCTTTATTTGATGACAGTTTTGCTTTTTGTGAAATAATACTTTAAAAAAATTCACAATTTGAAAGTGACAAATTCCACAGTCTCCTTTTTAAACCGAATTCATTTAAGTCACAATATATAATTTGCCTAATGAAGAATGTAAGCATAAATGCATGGCGTCACCTACTACTGATTGGGTGATATGAGTAGTCAGATAACAATATAATGTAACGTCATACATTTATGCTCGTTTTCTTGATTGACATTTATGATATCAAGTAGATCATACTTCACGATCTAAATAAATCTGGATTGCAAAGAAAGCTGTGGTGGAGTTTGCAAATAGCGAATTTGATTTAACGTCTTATTAGTTCACTGAAATAGCCACCCAGAGTTCAAGTGGTTTCAACTGATTCGTTTCTCTATGCCCAGCCGAACCAGGTACACCGCTGGTGAGATTGGTCTAAACGAGCGAAAAGCCGTTCGGTGTTAAAATCAGTTCTATCTGGCTAGCAGTTGCCACTGGTAGATATGTGTGGCACACAACTACTCATATCAATCAATCAATCACACTCAGTGTAAATAGCACTATCGTTAATTAGTCATCTTTCAAGGACACATTTTATGATATTTATGCTATCTTTTTGAAAACGGATAAGAATATTGAGTTTTTCATACTTGATTTGAAAATAGAATTCACCACGTCGACAACGTGAACGGAGTTTTAGTCTTCCAAATAAAGATACTGATCTTAAACAAATCGTATCTGGAAATAATTTCACTCATGGAAATGGAACAACAAGTGCAGGTTCTGAATTTGGTTCCTGTGAAGAGTTTGTTGATAGTCCTCGTAGGCTGATCATTCACAAAGGAAAATGGTATGTCTGGGTTCGCTTTTCCTATTGTATTATTCCATTTTCGTTGTATATAAATGAAATATATCGAGTTAAACTACTTTTTTCAGTTGTTCAGTAGTATCAGTATACTCTGGATATTTTTGTGACAGATCAAGGATGTGATTTTTGTATCGGTTAGGATTTTTATCAATAAAAACATATTTCTTTTAACTTTTGCTTTCCATGCCGTACTGTGGATATGTTTCGATTTGTTCTTGTTAATCAACTCTAGACCCTCTCCAATCCATTCTGTCATGACGTAATTGGTCATCATTGAATAAATCTGAAGAGTTTCTTCTACAGAATTACACGTTTACCATGCACCTAGGAGTACATTTTCTTATTAAATTTTTGAAGAATGACTAATTTATCTTGAAAGGTTACTTTGTCCAATGGCTGATTGGTTTGAAAAAAGAAAGAACTAATATATTCTCAGTAATTTTTTTGTTATCCTTGAAACTATGACCTGTTAACTTTATGAAAATTGCTTCCAACTTTTGTGCCAATCATCCAGCCAATTTATGGCATGGCAATTTCACCATTGACATTATAAGTCCTAATGGTACACCTGATTTGGGACTTTGGGTTAATCCTACATGGACAGTATGCGTGAGTCTTTTTGTTTAATGTCATTATAGGTGTTATTGTCGATTAGTCCCTTCTGTAAACACCTTAAGATGTGTGTTTACTCTGTTTTCAAGAGCTGTTGTTGCATCGTTTTTCGACTTAACCACGTGGAATCTCATAGTACCACTGAGGTACGCTGTCATTTTTAGGACAGTCCTTATAGCGATATTAGAACCTTTGTCTGGTCTAGGAATGATGACTTTATCATTATTTCCTAGGTTTTTTAATGTTAGTTTGTGCTCTTCAGTAAACAATTTTGACTGTACAGGAAGGGAAATGTGACATTGTTCTGCATCATCAATCATCTTCGTAGAAATAGGTGAATGTTTAAATAGCATATTGCCTATTTCTCCTCCTTTTTATTTCAGAGTTTGTGTCTGGATTCTATGAGTCATGATACGAATAAATTTCATGTTTTGGTTGGAGGCTATCGGCAGGCTCTGTCTGACATTCAGGTGTCCCGCTTGTTGTGTTGGCTGTCATTCAACACTCAGCAATGTAATAAGTGCAATCTTGAAGGAACAACTCGTTTTCCTTCTGATATTCGAACTCCAGGTCACCCACTCACAATCCAACTCCTTAACGGAGCAATGGATCCTCTAACTGGGCACTAGGTAAAAATGATTGTACTACGTCTGGTCTGTGTTGCTGGTACAGTGTGAATTTTATTAATCAAGTCTGCAATGCGACCACCATGTCAGGTGGCGCAAGTGAATGTGGGAGATAGAGATAGACAGAGGGTGAGAGAGAAGGACTTATCAAAATCTAAATGATACAATGAAGCCAAGCTGAAAATGTACTCAAGATATGTTGGTGAGACGTTTATTACATGTGTGAGAGAGTGAAAATCAAGCAGAGAATTGACTCAAGCTATTCAGTTTAGTTCACATAAATGTCACAGACACACTAGAAGGTCTACAGGCAAAATGCAACAAACTGGTATCTGAGGCATGTAGCGAAGACAAGATTTCAAATGAATATGGAGAGAATAGCGGTGAAGAAGATAACCAACCAAGCACCAACAGGAAACACCAATCACTGCCAGTTGGAGGAAATTTGAAGGAAGTTGCTTCTTTCATTTATCTCAACAGCCATCATCGTTTCAGCTACGCTTAGTTGGCAGGGATGGAGATGTCAAAGCTGTTCAGGTTCCCAGTGGAAAGGCAGACTTTCATTACTCTGAAGTCACTTTGGAAATCCCCTGCACTAACCACAAAGAACAAGATTCAGAATATCAGTACTAATGTGAAGTCGTTCAGTTCTTCTGCAAAGTTGAGAGACTTCACGTGTTATGAAAAGCATCAATTCTGTTGGAAAACGAGTTTCAGTCTCAACTTTGTTTGGTTTTATGTTCAATAGATTGTATATGTATTGTTTCGTAGACTGTGGAAATTCTCCATGTAATTTTTCTACTACTAAAGATTTCCTGAGTTTTTTATCATATGAATTTGCAGTTTTCAGCCGTAATTTTTACATGAATTTAATTAACTTTATACGACACACCAAATTAAGAATTTCTAGTAGACTGTCGAATTTAACTACATCTAACCTCAAAGTGGAGGTATGTTTCTGAGATGGCTCAGTATTTGATTTGGTGATACAATGCAGATTCTTCGGAGTTGGAGCATGGCTTTATCGATCTTCAGAAACTAATGTGAGAAGCAACCTTCTGGTTGTCTGTCTATCTTTCTGTCTGCTATTTAATAAACAGAAAATCACTAACCGACAACTGCAGTTGTCATAAGTGTAAAAAAAACAGCTGAAATTCACGGAGTATTTCTCTACTGACCAACAATCAGTTAAGTTTATACTCAAGTCGATAATCGTCAATTTTTCATAGTTTATTGATTTTCACGCTCTTTTTTTGTACTAGCCTATTCGTAAGTTTAGTGGAAATGGATTATTCAGTATCAACGAAAATTGTAATGTAAGACGACAGAGAAGAAAAATCTGAAACCAGGAAACGCCCATTTCACTTAGTTTGACCACACTTTTTTAATATCTTAACAACAACAGTTTTGATATTTGTTTTATCTGTTCTTAAAAGTGTATCACATTTCTTATATAGTTTAGAAAAAAATAATAAATTATATATTTCTTTGTGGTGATTTTTAAAATTACAAACTTTATTCAACTATTATAGTCGATAGATTTTTGTGGCTTTTGTGAAATAGGCAATACGACGACGCTTCGTATAACATCAAAAAAGGGAACAGTTTACTTTTATTAGGACTGCTCGTTTTATATGAATTCAACCTCGAATGCATGACCTTGCTAAACCGTATTAGGTCTTTGAAGATCCTTCAGATATCTGGTACCGAGATGGGTTTTTGTCTTCACTTAACTCTGTTTATTTTCTCATAAACTATGAATTTTAGTTTTGTAGTTAGGTGGGAAATTAGAACGGTATCGACATTTGCATGGGAACCTGTATATGAAGGGTAGGATAAAACTCCAAGATTTCGGTGACACAATGGAAGACACATTTAACATAAGAATGAATTTGGATAATTCAGAGAATAAATTCGAGCATAGTATCCTCAATCATAGCCTCTCATTCTTCTGTCGATTATAATATCATGCCATTACCTAGAGACTTCTATATTGGTTAAAGAATCTTCAACAGAACTCACCTCCCAAGTCATATGAGATCAAACCTAGAACTGTCAGCTCCTGGTTTTTTGATATCTAATGATGATTATTTCCTAACGCCTACGCAATCGTGATAAAGTATGACTGTCATTCAGAGCTTTCATGGACTGGTGTTACGTTTTAGACTTGACATCCTTGGCTTATCTTTCTTGTTATCTTACTTCTTATGCCAGAGCACAATCAGGTTACCTGATAATTCGGGGTCACAGTATTCATTGGTTTTACCGAATAACCATGAACATAACCGTCAATCTTTGTCGTCTTAAGTGTGTCACTGATAACACTTTGAATATATATCAGTTCCAGTGACTCGACCTGAATGCGAATGATTGATTGGGGACTGAGTTGCTACTCAAGAACAATTGGGATTTCCTGAAAGCAATACTATTTGTTACATTCAATTTCTGCTGGTAATGACTGCCCATCTCCTTTTTAGATTGATAGTTTCATCATCAACGGACTGTTTCAAATTGATCTTTTTTATTAAATCTTGACAATTGTCTACCATTGCCTTCAGTACAGAAGCTTGATAGCTAACTTTGGACGCATTTGGCCTTTTACGTTATCATCTGATTACAACAAGACTAACTTTTGATTGATGTACTTTGTTTCCACTAGTTATCTGTTTATGGTTTAACGGTATTTTTACTTTTATCCATAGAATCACCATCAATCTAGATTATCTCGTGACAATACTCAACGTTCAATAACACCATCAACGCCTAGTTCTCGAACTACAGGAACTGGTCGTAGCGCTTTATTATCTATGCTAACTCCGCGTTCAAATGATACAAATGATTTAAATAAATCTCTTCCTTCGGGTAATGAATGGAATACAGTGACTCAGTCTAATGGTAATCCTTTTAATGGTATGTTCTTCTCTTTTTGTCGTCATAAGTGCCATTACTTTTAATATGTTTATTGTTTTGGTATAAGGTGAACATGATGTGATATATACTCATGTTAATAATGCAGAGGATAATAATGTCATTAGAAAAGACTTCTTAGCTTCTGGGACATTTGTGTAACATATCAGTATTTGAAAGTGCTAGTGTAACGACAGAAGACAAGGGTCAGGCAACAGATCGTTTATTGAGAAAATCAACAGATATTTATTGATTTTTATGTGTATTATTATTCCTTATTGTTAACAGAGAAGCAACGTCTTCTGACTGGTTGTCTTCTTGCTCAAGGTTATTCTGTTATCTCTTTGGGGCCGTTTCTTAGAAAGTCAGGCAATATATCTGCGAATCGCATTTGCATACGTCAAGTCGGCTGTGATTGATTGTTGAGTTCCTCAAGGTTAAGCTTTGTTATTGTTTTTGTCATGACCCTGATTCGGGACGTGAACATGGACGTAAATTGTTGTGTACAATATTGGCTGGCAGACAGCTCTAAGCACACTAGTAATTGTTCAGAACTATACACAATAGTCTATAAGGTCGAAAAATTCCAGGAAGTGATTTAACTGAATATGCTAAAATGCCTCTTTAAATATTAAATTCTGTGTGCGTCGGTGGTACAGCGGTTAGGATGATCGCCGACCATGCACATGGTCCGGGGTTCGATCCCCGGCCACAGACGCACTCCTTTACCTCACTAAGCCAGAAATAATCCTGGTAAAGAGGAAAGGTTGGGAATGAGGCTAGCAAACTCATCCTGTAAAATTAAACACTGCTACAGAAACTTCAAGCCACTAGCTTGAATCCCGATTTTCCACTGGGAACGTGAAGGCAAAATTAAAAAAAATAAATATTAAATTCTAGTGTGTTAGTAAATTTTTAACTAATACACATACACTGTGGGACAAGCGTCCGACTTTTAACCAGCGGGTTGTAGGTTCGAGACTATGTAATCCTACTTGCCTCTAGTCGACTGGTTAGTGTCATCACCCTTCCTAAAATAAGGAAGGCTCATAACTTGGTACATGAAAAATCCATTCCGCATAAGTGACTACTAAAATATGTATATCGTTTGTGATAGTCAACAGGATACTTGAATGTGAAGTCCAAACTGTTGATCATGTGGAAAAATAGTTTGTAAGGTTAAATTAGGATATAATTTCAATGCACTTAACATTTTATGCAAATAAAATACTTTAAAAAGTATATATGTAAATATGTAAGCGGAAAGTGAAGTGGGAAAAAATTACCTGAATCTTATTCATATTGGGAGATAACTAAAATTTATATAAAAAAGTAAACAATTGTTTTTACTAATCACTTACTCATGAGAAAAATTCACCTTCTTTAACTCTAGGTTACTATACTTGTGCTTATAAAGCTCATCTTTAACATTACTATTAAATAATATTTTTTCTGAGTGCGAAAAATAGGACTTCAACAGTACATCTCCAATGTACTCTGTTCTGTGCATCCACTTTCAGCTAGCTCTGTAAGCTTTCATTATTTCCTGTTCATATGTGCGTCTGTGGCACAGTGGTTAGGACTCTCGCCTACCATGCACATGGTTCGAGGTTCGATCCCCTGCCGACGCACACTCGATATCTATGGTCAGCCTGCAAAATTTGGGCTACCGATATCACATGCTGAAAATTCCATACCTGTACCAAAAATACAATGTGGAATCAAGCTGTTATCAAAATAAAAATAAAATATAATCTCTTCCATATCACCCTCTGATACCCAACTCCTTGCTTCCCAATTCCAGCTGACTACTCGGCATGTGATTTCAATTAGCGGCCTCTCAGAGTATGTCCAGTTCATCTATGCTAGGTAATAGATTGTTAGCTGTTTCGCTGCCACGTGATCTTCACTATCGAGCGAAGGTATCTATTTATGAGAGTTTGAAGTAGTCTATTGGGAATGCTTTACCTGACTCACATGTCGAGTCTCTGAACTATGAAGAAACACTGACTGACTTAACACTAATAGTGTTGAAAATTCGTATCTTGTTCGTTATTCTGAGTAGTGTAGATGTGCACAGTGATTTCAGATTAATGAACGTCTTTTTATAGCTTTCTCCGCCGATTCTGGTTGGCTATGACATCTTTACTGGTGTGACGTGTAGTTGAAACGATTCTACAGTGTGTAACCCATTTCAGATCATTTGTGATAGTGTTATGAAAGAGAAACTATCATAAATGAACATGATCGGGATGTTTTTTTTTTTGAATTCTTAGCGTTTTTTTCACTCTACTCTGATTCTACTGTGAACTAGTTTTCTACTTCATCACTTGAATATCAATGAGATGCTCACTAGTGACTTGCCCTATTCAGGTAGGTAGTTACCTGGGGTTCTAGTGAGAAGTCGTGATCAGTAGGGTGCAGGAGGTCGGGTGTGAAGGCAAATACTCGCCGAAGACATTGGCTAGGGGTCGTGCTATGTCGTGAATTTGCAGAAGTTAGAATTCATGAGCCATTGGATTGGGTCCCAGTGGCTTAATAGTATACGAGCTCGCCTTGTAACTACAAGGTCCTGGGTTCAAATCCCGGTGGGTGCGTACTGATGAAGAGTCTCAAACTAGAGTGACAAAACAGTTGTCCAGTCTCTCCCAGGTTTTCCAATGGTTCTCTAACTAATGTCAGCTCATGATGAAAATCCTGTAACCAATCAAATCCCTATAAACCAACACTTGAATAAGGTTTTTGTATTTCCCAATGAATGAAAACCAAAACGATATTGTTTTTACTGACATTTTGCTATTTAGTGCGAATAGCTTTATCTTCTACTTGTCTAAAATCACTGGAACCTGTTAACAGCTGATAAATTTTTTTTACAAAAGTTCTTTATCGACTGTATGCTTTTACGCTTATTTCGAATAACTGTTTTCATAGCGTGTTTCCATTAATTGACTATGCATATATATATATATATACCTATAACTGTATACACCCATTGTACCAGTTACTGTGTTGTTATTGTTGTTTATATATTTATAATTTTGTTATATGGACGACGGATGAGTGCTTAGATGAATAGAAATTTTATACTCGTAGTTACCTGTTCCTTATTTATCTGTTTATTTAAGTATCTATTCATTCATTCATCCTTTGTACACATACATGTGAAATAATTTTTCCTGATTAACATCTGTTGTGATGAGTGGATATGATTATTAATTTCACATATGATGAATTTCTGCTATTGTTGATACGGTATCACAATAATAATAATAATAATCAATGATTGATGCATTTTGTTGTATGGTTTACTTATTTTATGAAATCTATGTGTATGGTTGATTAAATAATACATGGTAGTTGTATTACAAGGATCACTTGTTGGATGGCGTCATAGTGTGTTCTACCATTCGGTCGTAATAAATCAGTTTCCAGTCTACAGTAGTCAGTTGGAGGCTTCACCTAAAAGGCTTGAACCCTTACTAGACAACCCACATATCTCCACATGGTTTAGACCAATAGGCAGCACCACGTCTTGGTTTGGTCATTTCTCGTAGCCTCTTATAACCGTATTCTACTCACAGTCAGACTTTGACTCAGGCAGAGGGTAATTACGCAACTACATGACCCGGGCATCTCAGAATTTCATCATCAACCCATAAATTGTTTAGTTGTTTGTGCTTACTGTTTGTAATTATTTTTTTTTTTAATTTCACAATGAACCGACGTTTTTGTTTTATTTCTACTGTTAATAATTAGAAATTCGGGAACCTATGAATAGTTGTATACCATGTGGATCATCTACACCAGTTAGTATGCATAATGTTAAGGCTAAAATACCTAGTGTGCTTAATTTCCCGCGTGGTACAGGGGTTGGTGGTGCAGTTCCTCCTCCTGCTCCTCCTGCTACTGGTCTTCCTTCTTCAACTACTCAACCACTGTTTGAATCATTTCACTCTAATTCATTTATTGAAAATATAAATGAGGATGTCGTCGACAGAAATTTTAGTCAACAAACAAATTCTAATAGTAAGTGGAGTAATTTTATATAATGAAAATAATGAATGATCAATGTTAAATAAGGGTTTTGAAAGAATGTATTCTTTGTTAATGTGTTAGCTCAAAATATGAAGGGACTCAGATGGCCTAAAATTTACTGAAACTAGGTTTTCTAACTAGATTCTGGAGTGCTTATAATAGATTAGTAAATTTAGATAAAGAAAGGAAGACGAAATTTGCAGTATAAAATGATATCATTCTACTTCACAGGTTCTCATCAGCTGCAGACTACCTGAAATTACAATGGTTATATAGATGATAATAACATACTTTAATGTTTGAGTGGTGGTAGAGAAGAGATACGATAAAATTGACGCATCTAAATGAAAGCATTACAATGTTTTTAGTTTAAGTTTTCATCATCAATTTATACGCTTTTAAAGTTGAAAAGAGGGGGAGGGGTAAGACAGAAAACAGAAAAATTGATTAACAGAACAGTGTTAGCTTGTAGGTTCACATAGCAACTCAAGAAACAAAAGCGGTTACAGTTTGTGAGATTAAGATTTGTTCAGTGAGTTGAGATCACTGAATTAGATGACTAATCAAAATCAAAATTCTGTTACCAAGGCAGTGAGCGGTTAATCACACTCTCTTTCTGTATGCATAAGTCTGGTTTAAATCGTTTGATTGCAATTGCTTCGGCAAATCGTAGTAAATTTCTGTCCTTTGTCTATTTAATATTTTGAAGGACTTAGAAATGTCTACGAGATGTCCGGTGAGTAAATTTAATTTAGCTAAAAACCAATCGCCCAACAAATATGCAGGAGAAAGTGGGGATGGATTGGATACTCACTGAGGAGGCCGCTGGGTGACATCGCGCGCCCGTTAGGCCATTGCTCGAGTGGAACTAGGCCGAAAGGGAAGCGGCAAGTGGGACGTCGGTGCAAGGGTGACATGGAGGAGATCGTGTGAAGAGGAATTGAAACAGTATGGACTTATATGGATTCAGGTGAAAAGTACAGCAGAAGGAAGACATAAGCAAGTGGAGACGTGCAATTGAAGCCCTATGTTCCACTAGTAACCCAAGGGAACAATGATAATAGTAATCATTTATTCATTACAGCTTTTGTTCATACCTATCCTATCGAATGTGCGTCGGTGGCATAGCGGTTAGGACGCTCGCCGACCATGCACATGGTCCGGGGTTCGATCCCCGGCCGGCGCACTCCTTTACCTCGCTAAGCCAGTAGTGAACTGGTGAAGGGGAAAGGTTTGGCATGAGGCCAGCAACCCCATCCTGTAAAAATAATCACTACTGCTACAGTAACTTCAAGCATCTAGCTCGGAGCCCTATGTTCCACTGGGAACGTGCAGGAAAATAAAACAAAAAAATCCTATCGAATAATGCTATTTTTAAGTAACTAAGACTGAATTTTGAGTATCCCTTTGCACACACTTCAGAGATTTAATTCAATAAACGAGTCATTTCTTTTATGGCTAAAATTTATTTTGATAAAGTCTCAGTGTTATACAGTAATATTTACTGATGACGTTTCGAGCACACTTTATTGCTCATAATCATATCAAGGTACTCATACAACTTTCTAACCCATAGTTGAATTATACTCTACCACAATGTAAAAGTTCTCTTCTTATATCAATGAGTCATTTTCTGTTCCACCGATTCATCATGAAAATTAAAATTATTAACATTAGTTGTTTCAGTCATAAATCGAAGTTATAACGATGCCTTTACACGGTTATCTTCCATTTTTTTAACGAAGCTGAGTTTATGTAGTTGGTTTGAGGTAATCTCTGGGGTATCATCCTATTCGGGAATCATCATCTAGATGGACCTGCATGCCCAGTGAATGATCGTGTTCTCACGGAGACTTGGATGTAACAGCTATTAATTACGGATGCTGAATGTCTTGTTCACTACACTACTGAGTCCAAAGGATTACCCCTTATGTGATGAATTTCGATAAAGGATTCAAACACTTCAACTAATCCGTACACAGGAATGGTCGAAATGATGAAAATAACCAGGTCGTGAATACAAAGACAATTAAACTAAAATACGAATAACTCAGTGATGAGAAAAGTATCAGTTAAGCCATATAAGTTACTTATGCTGTGTTCACTGTTCGCTAGTCTTGAGACTAAGTGGAAAATTCGGAGAGGTGGTCAGTCTTTACCGTGGCATCTTGGGATAAAAAACAGAAGTGTTGAGTTATCTATCTGTTGGTGCATCACGTGTCCCCTGATGGAGTCAGAGAGATAACTTGAGGCAGTGACTCGAAATGTTATCAAATATGGTTGGGAGTCGTATTCAGTGGCGAATATGCTACAATTTCCTCCTTTCCTGTCTTTCTGAATGTAACACGTGCGTTGGTGGCACAGCGGTTAGGACGCTCGTCGACCATGCACATGGTCCGGGGTTCGATCCCCGGCCATAGACGCACTCCTTTACCTCGCTAAGCCAGAAATAATGCTGGTGGAGAGGGAAGGTTGGCCATGAGGCTAGCAACCCCGTCCTGTAAAACAGTAATTACTGCTACAGAAACTTCAAGACACAAGCTTGAAGCTCTATGTTCCACTGGGAACGTGTAGGAAAAATTATTATTTTATTTATGAATGTAACACGTAGTAGTGAAGTTTCTTTCTCTAAATACTGTCGCTAAGTTTGCTTGATTCTGTTTCTGAATTATTCCTTTTCTTTTCTATGTACATGTTGTACATCTCACAGTGTCCACATTGAATCAAGTTTACGTTTAAATAAAACAACGTTTGAGTCACTTGGTGTGTATGTGAAACCTTATTCAATTAGGACAATCGTATGTTAAATTATCATTACAACTCATATATATATATATATATATATATATATATATATATATATAAAGTATTCCTTCAATTGTCTTTATTTCTTTAGATCCACAGTCAGAAAATTTACACAGACGAAAACTCAGCAATGCCAGAAAACATCACATTTCTAGACTACCTAAACCTACGCCTAGTCGTAGGTTTTCTCATGGTTCAGATGGTGTACATTCTAGTGATCAAATGTATACCACACATCATAGAAAAAGTAAAACATCAGTTTCAAAATGTAGATCACGTCAAGGTTACTCGTTAGTAAGATCTCTTTTCAATTCTAAAGGTACAAGAAAAAAGCATAAATTACCACGATCTCGTAGTGGTTCACACAAATCTGAACAAACTCTAACCGATTCAAATTATTCAAGTCAAAATCATAGTTTAAGTGATCATGCTGAAGAACTTCTGAATTTGGTAAGTGCGTTTTACGTTGTTGTTGTTACTGCCGTTGTTTGTAACATTTTTGTGGTGATATTGATTTAGACAAACAAGATTACTCCAAAAAAATATACTTCATGTATCAGGTCATGAGTTAAACTTATTATGTAGGAATGCGATGACACTGAATTAGATGGGGTTGGATTCGAACCCTCGGCCTACTGGCTGTAAGTCGATTGATGAAGCCAATGAACCACCCGCAAGATGACTTACCATCAATATTTGTTCGTGTATATGATGATCAGCTTTTATTAAGATATTTTAAAATAGACGAAATAATTTTAGGATTACTGTTGATTATCGTGGGTAGTATATTACTGTTTATAGAACTAAAGCAACAAGTTGGCAGAGAAAATAGGACTTCGGGTGAACATAGAGAAAACAGAGTTGGTGAAGATTCCTGGCCAACAGCAACAACAACAATCAGCATAAATGGGAGGAACCTGAAAGAAACAACCTCCTTTACCTACCTGGGAAGCATCGTTTCAACTACATGCAGACGGAACTGATGGGGATATCAAGGCGGGGATGGGAAAAGTAAGACAAGCTTTCATTTCACTCAAGTGTGTGTGAAGGTGAACAGCACTCACCATGAAAATAAGATCCGGATTTTCAACTCTAATGTGAAGTCAGTGTTACTTACTATACGGATCAGAGACTTGGCGATTCGAAAAAACTACAGACTTTCAACAACAGCTTTCTTCGCTCAATACTCAAGATCAGATGGCCAGAAAAGATCAGCAATAGCGAGGGATCTCTGGGAGCGAACCAACCAGGAACTGATTGTGCAACATATAAGCAGGAAGAAATGGAGGTGGATTGGCCATACTCTGAGGCAACCATCAAGTGATATCACACGCCAGGCCATCACTAGAGTGGATCCTGAACGGGAAGCGGCGAGTTGGTCATCGGTGCAGGGGTGACTTGGAGGAGATCATGTGAAGAAGAGATGGAAGAATGTGGGCAAACGTGGAACGTTGGAGAACCGAACGCAATGGAGACGTGCAGCTGAAGCCCTATTTTCCTCTAGGAACTAAAGGAAACAATAATAATAAATATAGAACTAAGCTTTGGAATACGCTGAATAAGTGATTTTGTCGTATTGCTAAACTGTCACAAATTTGTGCCTGTAACAAAATGTGAATACTGGCAAGAATTTTCGCCACATTAGTAACTTCACCCTTGGCTAATAAGTTGATAACAGTAGCATTGTACAATATGATTTTAATTTGAATATTTTCGAATTTTTGAATTCCTTATTTCATCTTGAATGACAGTCATTTTCACCTTTTTTAATCTCGTCTGCTCATTATAAATCTATATCTGAAGATTGTTATGTCGCGTGATGCATGCTCAGTTGAAGTCAATCGTATACGAGCTGATTTAGCAAGATTGCGTAAAGCTAATTCAAAAGGAATTGATCGTCTAGGTCAGTCCAAATCAAATACTACTGAAAATGTAAGTTTTAGCTTATATTATTCAATGTGCACCCTTTCGTATTATTTTATACCTTTCTCCAGTATTAGTAATGCATTCGAATTAAAATACTTCTACCTTGTCTATAAATTGTTTATTAAGTAATATCTAACATCAGAGATTACAGCCACAATATGTGTAACAACAGAAGACAGGAGCTGGCAACAGATCATTTTATTACGGAAATCAGCACGTACATTATTAGAGCTTATTCAAGTAGACAAACGCAGTCTTCTGATTGGTTGTTTTCGAGTTCTTTGTAAAGTGGAGCCATATATCTGCGAATCATATTTGCCCACGCTTAAGTCTGCTGTGATTGGTTGTTGAATTAGCCTTGTTCATATTTTCTCACAGCCAATATTAGTGACCTAGACATTGACGTAGATTAATGTCGATCAATTGGCTAGCAGCCTGCTCTCACCACATATATAATAAAGATTTCAAGTAAAAACTACATTATTTGTGTTTCTCAATGTAGCTTTAGTTGGCATAATCTATCTGCTAGACCAAAGAAATAATAAATTGAATGAAGAAATACATCTCTTTTTAATTAGTTCCTCATCAAGGGCTGGCTCTAGGTTATTGTATATGTATATATTTTTGAATCAAGGCTAGGTCAATCATTGTGTTAGTGTTATTCATTAAGAATTATCAATTTTAAGGTATAGGAGGGGTGAAAATAATTATAGAATTTAAGATCAGTTGGTTTGTAGGGGTTATTAATAAGTTATTATATAATCAACAATTTGTAAGATATTGCTGACTAGGAAGAATAGATAAATGAACTTTGTAAGGACTCTATGATGTATAATTTTTTTTTAAAAATTCGTTTAAGTTCCCAGTGGAACAAACGGCTTCAGGTTAGAGGCTTGAAGTTTATTTTTACGGGACGGGATTGTTAGCCTCATGCCCCCAACCTTGCCTCTTTACCAGTCTTATTGCTGGCTTAGCGTAGTCAAGGAGTGCGTCGCGGTGTTCGGGGATCGATCCCCGGACCACATGCATGGTCGGTGAACATTCCACGCCTGTGCCACCGACGCTAAGACACAAACAAGTTAGTTTAATTAGTCGGAATAACAATCTAAAACACTTCATAATTAATATCAAATGATAGTCACAAGGATAGTGGAAAATCAGTTTGGAGACTGTATGCATAGTATGTGAAAAGAGATGGTTTCTAACTCAATCATGTTTTGGTAATTTCTAGCATCTTCTCCTGCATATGTTTCATTACACTATGTGGGCATTTGTTCTAAGGATTGTATTACTATGACTAAAAGTAGATATTTATTCCGGGAGACTTTGTTTTTTCTACAAAAAACTTGCGAAAATCAGTTTGTTTTCTTCTAATGGAGTTTGAGTTCTGTTCTCTTTCGCTCTCTTCACTCGCTCTCTTTCACGGTAAAAGATTATTGTAGTGTTTTGTTTTGTTTTTAGCTTTAATTATTCATGCCATAGACGAAGTTGATTATAGTCAGTTAAACTGTTAAACACTGACTTTTTGACTAAAATGACTATTTATTCCATCCCTCTTGAATATAAAGCAGTGGTATTAATAACTGTAATAATAACAACAACTAGTGCAGTAGTATGTGTGTTTCTTCGTCCCAGTTATTGTATCCTTCTATCAGGTCAGTGAATGGTCAAGCGTATATGTCTTGGTTCAATGGTTGTTTTTGTTGCCATATGTGTACACACACACTCACACACGCCCAAATATTTCTAGTATTCCCCCTTTTCTCAAAATCTCGTATCTATTATTTCTATTATTATTATTATTAGTAGTAGTAGTAGTATTGTTACCATCTTGCCTATTTTTTCCTTCTTGCTCTCCATTGTCTAACTAAGCAAATATTTGAATATTGTGAATTATCTTATATTCCTCCAATTATAATAGTGATATATCTATCCTGTTGGTTGGTCTATTATCATATACACATATGTATACTCGCATGCACACACACACACACAAACAGAACATATTTACTCAGGTGTATCAGGCATTTTAAAAATGCAAAGATATTTCTACGTTAGGTGTTTTTTTTCCTGTCAATGTTTATTTCATGTGATTAGCAATCCTACGAAGTAATTAGTGTAGGACTAAATGGGGAATAGCCACCAGTGTGCAATTATTACACTGTATATATATAATACACATTTCCTCCTTTTGTCAAAATGCTCCAGTTTGTTTTTGCATTGATATATGCCCTGATTGCAACGCCTATCCTGTATCTGTATTAATGTGATGAATAAGTACAAATAGAAGTCTATTGGAAATACTATTACAATAATTATTATTTATTCTACCAATGTTATTACTCAATGTCTAGATGAATACAACTCCTTTTTTATGTGTGTGTGTGTGGGTGTTCGTTGTAGGTGTGTGTGAATACGTGCACTCTTCATATTTATTTTCTCAACCATCATATACCTACGTAAAATAATGGACATCGAATGTTAGTTGAGATATGAGATCACTAGTACTGTCAGTTGATGTATGCATATATATACTCTGTATGTGTTTGTGTGTGAGTGAGTGAGTGAGTGAATACACAGTTAGGTTTGACACACACACATATATACACATCAACACATTGAAAATTTGATTTATTATCAATTTGATTGCACGTTTTATGTGCTATTTCCGATTGTATCAACGTGATTCGCTCTGTAATAATTATCGTTAACCATCGTTATCGATTTGACCTAATTTTCATTTTATGCTGAGATTGTGATCCATTGAACTTTGACCAGAAAAAAAGAGGAATAACTTTAATCTAATTTCAATCCAATGGATATTTTCTCATTTTATTTGATTAATTTGTGGATATTTTAAAGTATAAACAAAAGGAAACTGACAAATGAAGTGTTCCCGTGTCATGATTTAAACAAAATCTAGATTTGAAAACACGGGTTTTTATTAATTTACATTTATCTCTTCTAATCTATTGATATAATAATTATTGTGTGTAAGTATTGGCTTTTTCTTTGTAAAATAGAATGATTCAATTCAATAACTAATATGACCCGTTGCACAAGAGGTGGCTCTCGTGGCCCAAGTGGTCTAGTGGATAACGCTTTGGCGTTTGAAACTATGGTTACTGGGTTCGAGCCTCAGTGGGAAAATCATCACTCACTGAGAAATGCAGGTACATCCAGATGACGAGTCCCAAATAGGACGCAGTGCGCATCCTGGATTCCACTGCTAGTCACCATCCAGCAATTATATACTAAATAGAATTATTGTTTTGATTTTACTCCACTGTTTGATTTTCACTGAACTGAAATGTGTTCAGTCTCTGTTGATATGTCAGTTTCTAATGCAAACACTTTGACTCTATCCCTTTAGGTTGACATGATTTTTCGTTGATAGGGCTAGCAATGGCTAGCGCTTTGAAGTTTGAAAAGATGGGTACTGGATTCGAGTCTCATTGGGAACACCACTCATTGGTATATCCAAATAATAAGTCACGAGTAGGACGAAACGTTCGTCTCCTCGGTACCACTGCTGGCTTCCATCAACTAAACAATGCCTTTATTATGTTAATAAAAGGTTCTCATTGTGATAATCAGTCTGCGTTAACCTTTTTTACAGCTTTGTATGTCTTCGTGTGTGTAATCTGTAGTTTCTTCGGTTATTAGTTATGTGTAAAGTATTTAAAGTAATGTGGGAAAATGAGTTGCTTTCATATCTACTGTTTTTATATATTGTAAATCGTTATTTTTATATGATGTTATATAGATAGCGGAATAATTATTCAAGTGGGGTTTTGTCGTTGCAATAGTTATTTATGTGTCAGTCATTTTGAGGCAAAACATAGTATAACTGGGAAAACAAAGATGCTTGAATTATTAAGTCTTATTCATTGTGTAAATGGTTTGGGTTATTTCATGCTTAATCACAGTCCTCATGAACGAGCAGTGTTAACTGATGTAGGATTAGGTTTATGAAAAATAAGCCATGTTCATACCAAGGCAAAAGTTTGCAATTGTTCGTTTCAGGCATAAAGGTATAGGTTACTTGGTTTAAATCTTCGGGATTGTTGGAGCCAATTATCGAAGACAGTCGAAGATATTATTCAATCATTCATCACGACACAAATGTAATTCTCTCTCATAATCTTGACATTCCAGAGAATTTCCGTTTATCTTCATTCAATTACTCGCTGTCACTCACATTCATTTTTTTTAAGTGGTAACACTATACTTTTTATGTTCTCTTCTTTCTTAATGTAATATTTTGAAATGTGTAAGCCAGGTAAGCAGGTATAGGTTGCGTCCTCAGGATCCTCAGAATTGATAACTGGAGACTATTGGTGATGTGACTCATAATTGTTTTCAGCGGCGCAGATGCATTCAATCTTTTTATAATCTCTTAGATCCATTGAATCATCTTGTTTTTTGCTTATTTTACTTCCTCACATTTCTCCTCTTTATAGTTCTTTTGAATTTACTCTTTCTCTCATTTCTGTACCTTTGTGTGCCATATGGAATGAGGCGAACAGAACTGCTGAACTTCTGTGCAAAGTTCTCTGTTGCTCTGTCACTGTTATCAAATAAGAGGGAATTTGAGTTCGATGTTTATAAACTATTGAGACCTGTCAGTTATATCCATACGCACATTAAACACCTGTATATGCAGCAACACTTACCTTCCTACTCACTAAGTTAAAAGTTAAGTTTTGTTTGAATTATTCCTTTGAGGAACGATCACTAGGTTAGTTGAACAGTGAAACATTTCCGACATCATGTAAGATGCGTTTGATGATATTCAACAGATGCACTACGAAAATAACCTTTTATATTCATACTACTACCTACTGTTATTGCAATAGTGTTGTTAAGTATTCACGACTATGGAACATGTGAAGTACTTTCGAGTCATTATTTACCATTTCATCATATTTCTCATGTGTTACTATCTACTGAAGGTAGTAAACTCTACTGATTACCTGTGTGACTCATTTCCTATACTTTCTATTATTATTGGCAAAATATGGCTGTACCGTAGCATTTTTTGAAAAAAAAAATATGCCTTACGCTTTATTCTGTCATCTCTGTGTTCATCATTCATCACAGGTATCTGTTAGAAAAGACAAGAAATAAGTAAATAAATAAAGCGTATGACTTAGTGGAAAAATTCAGTCAATCACGTCGTGTTTAGCCCGCATTTTATTTGAAGAAGGAATAGTTAGTTAGCTATTATTAAGCTATTATTAATTAACTTGTAACGATTGTAGCCATAAATGAATTATAGATTACAACTGTTATAATTATGGGTTTGTTCAGTTGATTGAGAATATTTGACGGTTATTTCTACGATGTTTTCGAGGTATTTGGGGTTACAACAAATATTAGTAATGTAAACACTACAAGGTATTTAAAACTTATATAAATAGACGTGCTTGTTGATAAATTTTCATAATTTCTTTACGACAACTGAAGTGAACTGTAGGTAGTCTTTATTCGGATGAACATTTTTCACTATCTTTGCAACTCTTATAAATTATAATCTATGGGAGAAATTAATACAAAAGTAATTTACATTCTTTACTCATTTTAAAGTGGTTTTAATTATTCTTCGATTCATATAGTGACTAAATTGCACTGGCTGGAAGTATGATTATTATCACTAAAACATAAACTTCTTATATTATGGGCGCAAGAGATGCGCCACATAAAATATGAGATACTGCCTGGATGTCCGGAGAGAAGAGGGTGGTGGTCCTACGAGGCCCCTCTCCCTAAACCTATGAATTGAATTCGAGTCCACAAGGGGGTGGAAAAGTGCCAGGACCTGCGCTCCTATGATTGCCGATGACCAAAATAGTTCATACGCCATTCTGTCCATTCGGATTCTGGAGTCCATGTACATCATAAATTTAGAATCAGGACCTTTCAGCTCTCCTAGGTAAATCTGTATGTCCATCATCCGGTTGTTAGCTTCAGAAGTTCGTATCCGCACTTTCACTTTTATGAGGAACACCCCTACCGCGTGAAGGTAGGGGTTATGATTAACGTGCGGCCTCATAAGACCATTCACTAGTTAGAAGAATTTTTGGAAAAATCAGGATATGTTCGTCGCGTAACGTGACAGTTTTGAGCTCAATTGTTTACGAGGTAATGAAAAGTTTGAGACTTGGTTCCTAATGAAGTTGTTTCACCAAGTATGAATTCATGACAAAATTCAAATGCACTATGAAGCCACCGACATAATTTTAACCATTTTTCAGTTTAGGCTATCAAACAGTTGTCGAATATATGACACATTCAGATGCTTTCAGCGTCAACAATATAATTCAGATGATGGTTGCATTTTTTCGGTATAACTCATAAGAATACTTTTTGTCCACAATCTAGAACACTGTTACAAACGTTTTAAACTTATAACAAAATAAGTGAAAGTATCATATTCTTTATTTCTCTCTCTCTCTCGTTGTTTCTTCTCTTCTTCTAACAGGTCTATGCTGATCGTCTTCCCCAGATGCGAAATCATACAGATTCACTAAAAACTAGATATTCACCGGCTGGAGATGATAATAACGATTGTACGTATACAGAAATTCAACAGCCTACAAGCTATAAAATACAATCACAACGTGCAAATTATTATCAACAGAATTTAGTAGAAAATAATCATGATAAGAATTTCAGTCCAAATCGTATACAGTCTAAACGTCAAACACGTAGATTACTTCCACACACGAAATCATTTGATGATGGTGATGATTACGATGTTGATGATGTTGATAATGATTATTATAATGAATTGAAAATAAATGATAATCACATAGATAATAATAATCATAGTAATAATAATAATAATGGATGCATTGATGGTGATGTTTATGATGAACAAATGAATTATCCTTATCGTTGTGGTGATTATAAGCGGGAGTATGAACAGATTGATCCTGTAGACATTGGTCAAATGGAGTAATTGAATCAAACTGGAAGATAGAGCACAAAGGTAATTTTTTTGTCTATATGTAGATTAATTATATTTTTATTTGTCTTTACGTTTTTAATTTCAAAGATTTGTTATATTATTCTTGAAATCCGTTTTGGAATAGATTTGATCCATATATATGTTAGTGTGAAATTCATCAAAAATTGACCTACGCAGTATGCATGCATGCATCTCCATGCCACCTCACTGGAATGGAGATCGAATCTAGTCGTATGCATCGCTGGAAGCGTTGCTAAAGCTGTCGTCTAGTGTTTATGGGGTTCTGGAGAATTTCTTTTAAACCTAGGCGCTAATTTCTGACGAAATGTACTTTTGAGGATATTTCATAATTTCTTTTAACTGTTTAACAGTACGGATTCATTTTTCAAACTTAGGAGTGTAACTCAAAGCTTTTTTTAAAATACTTTCTTTGCCTTCTGAGCTAAAAATAGGGGAATTAAAGCCGTGAGGATTCAGTAACCGTGATGTTTTTTCACAGAATGGGGTTGGTAGCTTCACACTCAACCTTCCCTCTCTTCTGGACGTCTTATCAACTAGTGAACTGAGTGAGGTTTAGGAGTGAGTAGAAATCGAATCCTGGACCACTTATGTGATTTGCGAGAATCCTACCACTGAACCATCGACAGGAACGTAGAAATTCATTGGTTCAAGTTGCTACACTCCATATGACACACAAAAGTAGAGAAGGGAAAAATTTCAAAAGAACTCTAATTGAGTTGAAACGCATAGAAAAAAATGATTAATCGAATATAGAAACTTAACGACTCAGTTAATATGAGAGATTGAGAAGAGTGCCATTGACAACGTGTTTCAGCCAAATTACACCAAAAGTCTTTAACTTTCATTGGTTCATACCGTTTTGAAAACCCCCACCGTTGAGTTTACACCTCCCTGCATGACTCAAATCAATAGTCAAAGACTTTATGGACTTGACTGAAGCCAGATTTTGGTTTAACTATCCGCGTCTGCATTGGTGGCACAGCGGTAGAATGCTCGCCAACCACTCAGGTGGTTCGGGGTTCGATCCCCAGCCACCGACGCACTCCCTTACCTCGCTAAGCCAGTAATAAGACTGGTAAAGAGGGATGGTTGGGCATGAGGCTAGCAACCCCATCTCGCAAAAATGAACTCCACTGCTACCGAAACTTCAAGCCTCTATCTTGAAGCTGTATGTTCCACTAGGAACGTAAAAGAATAAAAAATTTTAAAATATGTTTGGACAATTTTATTTCAACATACTTTTCTTAATGTATATATATGCCTATAGGTCGAAATAATTTTATCCTTAAATCTAAAGGTTAAGTGATGTTTTGGTATTTTATTTTTCATATAATTTTTTTTCATTCCTTCGCTTTCCGAGTGAAACGTGAGGTTTCAAGCTCTAGAGTCTTAATAGTGATGTTTTTTTACGGTAATGGCCTAATAATCTCACACCCAAACTTTCCCTCTTTTCCAGACCTGCTACTTGCTAATAAACTAGAAGAGGTTGAAAAGCGCGTCAGCCGGGAATCTAAACTAAGAATACTTGTGTGATTGGCGGATATTCTACTATTGAACAGCTGACACATTTTTTTCCATGTAATAATGAAGTTTAATCAGTGGGTATCTACAGGCTTAAATGCTCAGCATAAAGCTCCATTTATCGCTTTGACGCTTGAAATCTCCTTTTATTATCCTTACGGAACTAGATAGGTCAATAGCACACGGATACTAAGCTTAGCTTCTTACAGCTTATATACTCCATTCATCACTGAATACCATCTTATGGTGAGAACAGATTATGTCAGACCACTGATGGAATATAGCTTTGACGCTTGGTTAATCACATACAGTCGATGTGTAGTCATTAGGTGCTAGGATGTGATCGACAGGAAGCCATGGATCTGGGTTTCATGCTTGTTAGTAGTTTTCAGTAAGTTCTATCTGCATCCTCGAGAAAATTGATTCGAACTCGTGATAACTGTCAATAAGTATTTTACAGGGTTTTCTTCAAGTTGATTCTAAACGTGTAATAACTATTTGAAGTTCTTAACGATGGAGACTGTCCTATCTTCGTGACCGCATTGTGAAGTTGATTCTTAGAATCTGGACAGTATCATTAAAGACTAAATATATAGCACTTGTTACTCCCCAGTGACCAATTAGTCTAAGGAAATAGTGTGAATAAATTCCCCATGAATTATTTCAATTCTCAGGGGAAATATTATTTATTATCTTTTCTTAGCTGTTATTTACATCGGAAGAATTGTTCTGAATACGTTTTGTTTCAGAGCTAAAAATCTCGGGAATACCCTATATGCATCATTTTTGCTTAAATATTATTAAGGAAAATTAACAATTAGGAAATATTCACAATTTTACTGTCTATTATTAAACTCGGAATTAGCACAGTGCTAATGACACTGTAACAACAGAAGACAAGGGCCAGGCAACAGATCGTTTTATTATGAAAATCAACACGTATTTATACATATTTCACATACATTATAGCTTATGCAAGTAGACAAGCGCAGTTATCTGATTGGTTGTTTATCAGAAGTTAGGCAGACAAACGCAGGCTTCTGATTGGTTGTTTCGGATTCCTCGACAAATAGAGTTCTCTATCTGCGAATCATATTTACCACGTTAACTTTGCTGTGATTGGTTGTTGAATCAGCCTTGCTCATATTTTCTCGCGGCTGCTCTCAACACTACCTTACATTTTGCTCAGGTGAACCATTTTAAACCTGACCATTATCTACTCTTATTGTGTGAGCGTTGATGATAGTCACTAGTCTCCAGGGTTGATAATATTGGAGAGGAATTAGAACTTACTGATTGAATACCAAGTGCCTAAGTCAGCGAGACACACTCTGGATATCACTTCGAGCACTCGAAAATTTCGCTAATGACTTCACTTAATAGGTCTATGCCATTCACATGTTTGGAAACAGTTAGTCGCTTTTTAGGCAGCAATTTGATGTTTGGTTGGTTAAGTTTATATAGAGTCATCCCCATCAATGCATCTTCGACAAGTATCTTTGATGAACATTATTTCTTACTTCAGACAAAACTTCATGAATTTGATTAGCTGGGCTTGATTAGCATAACATACTTCCTCTCATCTTCTTAATAAGCAGATCCTGCCACAACACCGTTTGATAGACTTAATCAGAGCTACCTCTACGTCCATAGTTATGACTATTGTGGAATGGTGGAATGTATTCCTGTATCCCTGAAACATTTTGGAGATTAAACCTCCGAGGTGATACATGAATCTTGCGCGATATAGAAAAGTACTTGAGTGAAACTACAATCGACGGAACAGCAGTTACACGAAGAATGGTGAGAATTTTTGGAATCTTGATGGTGGTGACAGTTGTTTCATTGTGAATCGTTTTGAACCATAAAACCATGGGTCTCCATTGGTTGATTCTTAGTATCTCGATGACCCAGCCAATTCGTCTTTATCTCCCTACATACCTACTAATTAACAAGAAAGTCGCTGTAGTCTCTATATATCAACCTACTAAATAATTTTTCCCCACCGTTTCGTATAATGGCTAATCACTTTGAAGTCATTCCCTAAATTATCACTTTTTTGAAAAATAATGTATTACTAAACCTACTATTGTCTTATCTACTAATCCTTTATGTACCCATATAAACCCTACTCTAGCTTCGTCAAACCGAAGGAGAACATCTCATCAGAGAAATTTATTGACCGGTAGACGTCCAAGAACAAGATCAATACCTCGTCATCCGCCACTCAGTACTAATTATTCACCATGTCGGAGGCTTAATTACGAGCGAAGATGTTCTCGTGGGCATTCATTGGACTATACTCGTCTATATCCTAAGCGATCGTTAGTACGGAACTCTGCAACGAGTTTACTAAACAACTTAGAATATCATGATAATGATCCTTCCTCAGAGACTGCAGCTTTAATTCACCTAACTGATGAACTACTTGGATTACGTCAAGGTTTGAAGAGAACACGTGAAGTTAATTCAGAAAGAGTAAGTATTTTTCTCTATAACAGTCTATGAATATTCTTGACAATCTTAAGGATCCACTTAAATTTTTATTCTAGTAAAATATTATCAACTAGTTAATTTTTCGGATATCGTTCAGCATACATTATTGTGTTGAGGAAGATACATTTATCAGTCATGGTTTATTTATTCTTTAGTAGTATTTGTCGTTTCCCTTAAGAAACTTTGACTATATTTTAGAGATAAGAAATAAATTCAGTTATGTATGTAGAATAGATCACTTTCATTTGCCCTCGCTTACGTAACGAAAAGAAAAGGTTTTACAGAAAATCTATTTTTTGGTGTACTAGGTGGTGTTTGAGGATGTCATGGAAATCTGGGTCGCAACAGCAGTCGAACCAGCAGCTTCCAAAGTACTAATCTAGTCGCTAGTTCGAACCCTTCTGCAACCCAGATTTTTATTTCACAGACTATATCATGAAGTCTTCCAAACCAAGATAATTTCACCATCAGTAATCCTGTTTACTGTAACTTATTTCTAAGCATCTTAATTTGCATGTATTTATTATTTATCATTGTTGCTTTCCTCAAGGTGAGTTACACATTCCAATTCTTATCCTTAGTTATACACATATATTTACATTTACAAGTGTTACTTGTATGTTTCAGTTACATCTGTAGCTTACATTTCATGTTTCTATCTACTATTGAGGACAAATCACATATCGTGAATATACAACATTTCATTTGCTCTTAAAACTCATACAGCATATTTCTGCAAGTGCCAAACGTAGTGCTCTGTTTCTTAAATTGATTATTTTCACATGAAATCCAGCATTAGCTACTGGACATTTTGATGTGTTTATCACTTCCGATTAGAAAAAGAAATAGGCGGACAAAATAAGATTATGGAAGGAAATTGGAGGAAGAAGATAACATGAGAATCGAAGTATTTAATAATTTGGTTTACAAGATGAATTGTACAACCGGTGATTCTAAATGTTTCATCAGTATGTTGATTTTCACTGCTTTTGGTCGACTGAAATTAACTGACATGTTAGGCTAGGCTATTCAAATATATTACTATGAATGCATTCAAATACCAGTTCACTCATTATCCTAAATCTTTTGAATGACTGCAACATTTTATTTACAGTCAGCCCCATCGATATTTTGTCATGTTGTAGTTGTTTGAAGTGATAAGGTTAGATTTCGACTTCAGTCCTATTCATCACTTCTGAGTAATTCAGTCATTTCTAATGTCTATATTATTTTATATGAAAACGAGATAAGTTTGAAGTCAATTGGTGGATGGTGACTAGCAGTGGGATCCAGGATGCACATTTCGTCCTTTTTGGGACTCGTCCTCTGGATGTGCCTACACTCCCCAGTGAGTGATTGTGTTCTCACCGATGCTCGAACCCAGTAACCATAGTTTCAAACGCCAAAGGGTTATCCACTAGACCGCTTGGACTACAAGAGTCACCTTTTATGCAATGGATGTTATTTATTATTTGATTCAATTTAGAATTTCCCATCGATTGATTGGACCGAAGTGTTCGGTCTCTGCACATGGAGCTGACATGCCAGTCTGAGACCTAGCGCTTCGGTTCAATCAATCGATGAGAAGATTTAAATTGAATTAAGTAAATAAGCTTATTTAATTTATAATTAAAATATTTCTCTTTACTTTAGTAATAGTAATTTGGATAAATAAATGTGCTTACTTCATTTCTTTTCTTTAACAAATTCAGCTTGAAGTTGCTTTAAGGCATATTTCACTACTTGAATTAGAGTTACAACGTCAACGTTGCTTGAATCATGATGCTGAAGTAGTTAGACAACATGAGATTGAACGTTCTCGGTGGGAAAAGGTAAATTAGTTGTGTATTCTATAAATTCGATACATTATTCCTACTGTATATTAATAATAACACTGTTTGGTCATAATATTACACATAATTTATCTGGTCGTTAGACAGGAGTTAAAAACACGGTGGTCTCAGCGACGTTTTGCGTCGTGTTATTACTGATTGATTGCTGCTTCTATATGTTTTAGTTCTTGATTTATTGTTGATATCTGTGGGTTCATAGTAAACATTTTCATTTGATTCAGACTTTAGCTCACTGGTTTAGGTTTATTGAACCTCGAACTACTAATTAGAGATTGGTACGCATTTCCACCTTTCGGAGTTTGGGTAGGCTCATGCAATAGTAGACGTAGTTTGCTACTAAGTGCAACCAAGTATCTGCAACCTCAAAGCATCCGATGTCCATTGGGTGTACCATGATGATGAATCATGTAACTTGGTGACCATATTGCAAACATGACTGATAGATTTAAATAAACCTTAACGATTAGACTCGTGACATTGATTACTCCCATGTAATCACTTAGTGCATAGATTTGGTCCGTATACTCCAGCCTGCATTTAGGTATTATCAGATACATTGGTAATTATCGTGTAGCTACCGAAACCGACGTGTTGTGGTCTAGACGCAGGAGACCCATCTTTGCGTCCTACAGTAATAACATATCAATACTCAAACAATCCTATTAGGCATCTATACTGATCCAGAACTTTCTCAAATATAAAATAAGTACTATATAACGAAATTATTTAACCAAAATCAACCTTTAGAAGTAACTGAGAATCATGTAGAATATTCCCAATAAGGTGGGATCAGAACTCTGTCAGCAAGAATCACGCACCAAACGCTTCCCTCGGGCAGCCCAAGGGTGAAATTCCCACGTCATAACCTTAACCTCATTCAAACAAATCACAATCGTAGAACAACACATTATCAATACCACCACACAACCACAAACAGAAACGTTTAAATTAGGGATTACACAATAACAAAGGGGTATAATAACGATCACGTCATTAGGTGACAGGTAAATGTTATAACGATGATATATAGCTTAGGAGATAAGCGGAAAATCATTACAAAGTTAGTTCTATTATCCAAATATGTATCAACATAAGGTCGTTCAGGAAAGATTTTCCAAACAATTATTGTGTTGCATATCACGTGAGTAAAAATTGACTACTCTTTATTTAAATTAAAAAAAGATTAGCCCCAGTTTTCATGTAATTTATCCGCTACCATTTTAGTCCCAACCTCATTTAGCCCTACGTGGCTTTACTTAGCAGTATTTTTTGTTTTTAGAGTGTTCATATGCAGACTATTCTATCAGTTTTATATTACACTAAATAAACTATACATTTTGAGTTTTTATTATTCTGAATATTGGAGTAAAGATAGGAATTAATTTTAAATTCATTTCTATAATGAAATAAAAATGCTTTTGAACAATTGTAAGTTCGGTTGATCGCACTTTATCATTAGAGTATATTAAAAATGTGCGTCGGTGGCATAGCGGTTAGGACGCTCGTTGACTATGCACATGGTCCGGGTTCGATCCCCGGCCGACGCACTCCTTCACCTCGCTAAGCCAGAAATAATGCTGGTAAAGAGGAAAGATTGGGCATGAGGCTAGCAACCCCATCCTGTAAAATAAACAATGCTACAGAAACTTCAAGCCACTAGCTTGAAGCCATATGTTCCACTGGGGAACGTGAAGGAAAGAAAAAAATATTAAAAATAATGGCTATAATGAAACTGATTAATCAGTGTAGAGTGTCTTTCAATCCTATTTGTCATATCTCTCAAGTGAATAAAACAAACCTCATGCATACAGTTTTATCTCTTTTTTGTTGTTGTTAAACTTCAAAGCCATTTGTAAACTTGGGTGCATGTACATATTTTTTAAGCTAAATTTTACTTTACTATCAATGCATAGTATGTTATGCTTGCGTTGTACTTTTTTTGTTTTCTTTCATTCTAGCGTTTAGCAGCAACACTTGGCGAATTAAGGTATTGTCAAACAAATATTGGTAAACTTCGAGAACAAGTTGATCAACTAGAAGCTTCAAGAAAACTTTCAGATAAGTCTGAACAAAAATTAGGTAAAAAAATATTAGATCTTGTCTTCATTGTTTTGTTGTACATACTTTTGTTCCTTAAATTTATCAAGTTTTGTCAACTACCTGTTGAATGCTGTAAGCAGAAGTCTCTTTTCGTAGTTGCCATGTGTTTAAAAGATAGCCTATTATTATTATTAATTAGTGTTCCCTTGGGTTCCTAGTGGAGCAAGGGCTTCAAATGCACGTCTCCATTGGCTTCTGTCTTGCTTCTGCTGTACTTTTCACCTGTTAGTCCATACTCTCTCAACTCCTCTTCACACTATCTCCTCCATGTCACCCTTGCACCTACGTCCTACTCGCCGATTCCCTTTGGGCCTGGTTCCACTCGAGGGCTTGACGCTCGCGCGATGTCACCCACCGGCCTCCTCAGCGAGTGAGTGTCCAATCCATCTCCACTTTCTCCTGCATATTTGTTGGTTGGCGATTGGTTATTGTTTTGTTTGTTCCCAGCCATAGTTTCTTGTTGGTGATTCTTTCTGGCTCGGTCATCTGATCTTCAGTATAGAGCCAGCGAAGAGAGTTGTTGATAAAGGTCTACAACAGGCTGTTGGAAATATTCTTTGTGACCCGCCTGCCAAGTTTCTGATCCGTATAGAAGAACTGACTGACTTGACGTTTGTATTGAAAATCCGACCGAATTTTGTTGTTGATTCTGGCTGAGTGACGAAGATTTCCAGATTGGTTTCAGTTGGTTGATGAATGTGTTTCTCGCCTGCCTTCCCGATTCTCGCTCGATTTGACATCCTCGTCCGTTCCGACTTCCTGTAGTTGAGACAATGCTCCTTAGATGATAAGTGAATGAAGTAACCTCCTTCAAATCCCTCCCGTTGATGGTGATTGACGCTGGATGTTTCTGCTGTTGTTGTTGTTTGGTTATTTTCAAAATAGCCTATAGTCAGATTTAATGTACACTATCAGTATTTTGGGGTGTGCTACTGACAAGATTTTGTAAGTAGTGTATAGTGTGTGTGATGTCTCCTTCAGGAATTTTGAGTATCGGAGAGATGGAGTAATCAGCGAAGTGAAGAAATTAAATATCCTTGTGCACCTACACAGAAAACTTGTAGGGGAGACCAATGAACCACAACGCCGAGAACATACGCAAATGGTATATGTATTTTGCCATATCTGTACATCGATTCACCAGTAAACAATTCCTCTGCTAATCCTGACGTGTTCTTCTGTTATAAATGTATTACTGAACGTTTATATTGACAGAGCTGGAGAAGAAATGCCTGTGTCATGCAAGCGTAGGAATGTGAAATTCTCCTATGGTGGCTTGTTGTGTGCCTTTATCAGTTACTTCTCCATGTTCACAAATGAAGACACAACACCCACACACATGAATCATCCATATCATAAGATGTGATCTTAGTCAAAAGTTCTTTTGTTTTATACTCTGTTTAGTTCTCTAGACGGTTTGGTTATAATGAGATGATTGAGGTATTGAAATACTTATGTATTTTCTTAAATCTGTTCAGTCTATTCATGTTTATTTTAACATTTTCAAAGTAGAATTGCGATGTTTATCTTTTATTTTACTTTTCTCTATGTATTATTCTTTTCATGAATAAATAACACCCAACACGGATAGAACGTCAGCAAATGGAATTAGATCAAACAAAAGCAACTTTAGATGCACAAAAAGAAGCGATAACCACCTTGAATAATCTACTCAATTCATTATTAGGTCTTAATCCAAGTAAGAAATTTCACTTATTACCTCTTTATCATATCAGTATTTTCAATTATTTTGCATCTTTGCATAGTCAACAGTGTTATACAACTCAACTGTGAAACCATACTAAAATCTTCAAGGATGAATATAGAATTGGATATGCTTTATTCATGTTGAGCTATTGTTTTTCTTGAGGAGTAATATTGAGATATAGTGGTCGTACCAAAACATACTGTCAGACGTTGGCTTATGTAACTGCTCACTGAAAGCCTGTACCAAGCGGGATTTTGATTGTCTGTCTGTTGTACTTGAGACTACAAAAACCAATGGTTGGTCAACTGTCAGAGACAGTTTAAAATAATTCACAATGGCTTAGAATAATTCACCTTATATCATTTATGAATTTCAGAAGATTTTCGCCAATATCTGCTACATCAATCTTTGTCTCACCCGTGTTTTTCGACTGTAACACTATTCTGTTTTATTCCCTCTTCATTTTTTGTGTTCATCAGCTTCAGCTGATATATTTTTGTGCAATGTTTTATCTAGTCCCATGAGTCAATGTATCATAAGTACTGCGCATTGAACAATCTTACCCTTCAGTTGTACGAATTGGCGAAAATTTAATTGGATATTAGAATGTTAATTTTTTCATCAATCCATACCATAAATGTACTTTATTTCTACTAGGACAGTCGTCATTATTTTCAATCAAATAAGTCATAATGTAGCGTTTAATTTAACTATTGTTAGTTTATGGTATTGAAGCAGTAGTATAATATTTAACCAATCAATTATTTGTTTCGAGTCACATTAGACAAAAATCGACTTCATAGTTTAAAAGTTGAAGTCAGGGTTAGATCTGATATATCGTGGCTTAATTGATGATGTAAGATTCAATACCTTGGTCTTCATCTAAGTGACTATATATTATATCGTTCCAGGAACCATTTACCATTCTAATCCGTTTTTTAGATGGGTTCAGAACCCTTCAGTAGAATTTCTATGAGTTTCGCTTGTAGCATTCACCAATCCAAAAGAATAAGTTCATCGTCGTATTTCCGAACATCATCCAACGTGGTTAAGCAAGGGACAAAAAAGATCTATTCGTAGTTCTATTTTAGCCCACCTCATTGATACTGAGCATAAGATTGATGTGAATACTATATTTAAAATTATTTATCGCATTCCGACTTATCTTAATTTTGCTCTGCGAGTTCGTCTTCTACAGACAGCTGAAGCAATCGGAATTCACCTGAAGAAGCCAAGCCTATGTGTACAGAAAAAATGTGTACAGCCACTTTCCCTACTGTGACCATCGTCACAAGAATGCATAAACAGGACTATGTCGCCCCCTCCCCCTAAACCTATAAAAATTATAATTGTCTAAATTATTTATTTTATTTTTATTTATTTTGACCACTTTATCTTTAATTTACGTGTTATCCTTGTAAAATTAATTTATTCCAACCATTTCTACCTTTTAAATGTGTATTGATTTTCTTCGTTAATTATCAACCCATTGACATTTTGACACTGTTTAATTATTGTTAACAAACATATCGCCACTTGATTGGTAAACTGTTGTATTGTAATTAAAATGCTTTATATATTAGAGTAGAGCTAGAGATGAGGATCTAATTGAAAAGTAAATATTTCTTCGCTCAATCTTTCTGTTTTCTAAATGTCTAAATGGGGATTTTTTCTAAATTGACTCTATGTTGAATGTAACCTAATGACAGTAGTTGCGCACAACCTTTCCCCTCGTTTGTATGAGTGATAGTGCCTGGGAGAACTAGTCACTGTATTATTGGTATTAAAAAATCAACACGTCTGCTTGGAATGCTAACCCTTTTGCTATATATCCATATAATATGTGTGTTTGTTTGACAGTCTGTATATTTGCTATGTATATATGGATCGATATTCCATTATAATAAGCCAATCATGTTAAGACTGTCTATTGATTTGTTCATTTTGAATATTCGTTCACACACTTGTCCGGACATTCATATATATTTTGCTCTCACACTCTGGTGTGACATTGATTCTCCTGGTGTTTGGGAAATAGAAGTATCATCGCAGACCTAGTGGTCTTCTGATTTCCATCTTCTTGCGTCAGGACTATTAAATTCTCGACCAGTACATAACAATAATTTGGCGACGAGTACATAATACCTTTTCGACGACTTGTTTCGTACAGTTCTAGCACCTAAACATAGTTCGCTTTTCTCTTATCGCGATTTATTTTTCGTTTAACAAATACTGTATCGTCAATTTGAACGATGACACCAATTCCTCTGAGTATACAAGTAATTCCATTGATCTTTATTGAGGCTGTATCCCGATATTGCTGATACCAATGCACTGTTGACACTTTAGTATTCTCTGTTTCCGCATCGGTAGCAGATGCTGGTCGTTTCAGTAGCCAACTGTGGCGTATACACAATATTTTAGCAAGGAAGAATTTCGATTTAGAGAGGAAAGTATCAAAAAACACTATAATGTACAATTTATCAACTCTTACAGACATCTTGGTATGACAGTGATTGCATCTGAATCAATAGCAGGCAGTAGCCTTATAATACTTCTGACGAATTATTATCCCTCCACCGTATGTAAGTTTTAGTCTTCTCTTTCAACCCATTTTCCACACAGAAGTCAAAAACCAAAACCGACTGAAACTCACAACGAAGATAACCTACAGCATCTATTTATAACGCTGAGCCACCTAATTGGTTGGTTCAATATCATTTGACTGTGGTATCTACTATTTACTCTTACCAGAGCATAATTCATTGGGCGAGAGCTACATCCAACTAACAAGTCCTAAACAGGACGAGACGTATATCTTGGATTCAGCTGTCCACCACTATAAATCAATGTATACATAATGATCTAATTAAAAATATTGTAAACAAAATAGTCAAATAATTGACCCGGTTTTATGGTAATCGTTTTAAATAAAACTAACTCTTAAACTAAGGTTAAAGTTGAATCTGAAACTGAATCAGCTTATGCAAGTGATAAGTTTAGTGGTATGTTCTATTGAATTTGAAACAAAGCAATAAAAAAATTCCTCAACTACTTTAGAACAACTTTCACACAACAAAAAGCTGATTTTTCTAGTAATCCTATTTATACATTCATTAATAGGGTAAATTAATTATCGTATATATAACCAAATATACATTAAATATACGTCTTCATAAACTCAATGCTTAACTCACTTATTTATTCCTACCTTTGTCGTGATTTTCAGATTCCACAGTTCATTCATAAAATGAATATTCAGTTTCAATTATGTGATTATTGTGACTACTAGCATTTATTTGAATTCACAGTATCAGGATGTCTTGATCCATAACCCCTAATGAGCTTTTCTTAACCTATTTATTCTCATGACGAAACTTAATTTACGCCGCTGTCGGAGTAGTTGGTTCTGCATATCACAATGATACACGATTATTGCCTAGTTAGTGCTACCGTGCGCTATATCGAATGAAAGAACAAGATTCGGATTTTTAACACAAATGTGAAATCTCTCCTTGTATACGGGTGAGAAACTTGGCCAGTACATCATGTAAAGTATTCCCAACAAGTCACAGACTTTTATCAACAGCTGCCTTCATTGGGTCCATACTGAAGATAAAGTGGCCGGCCGGCCGGCCGTCCAGAAAGAATCAGCAACAAGAAACTGTGGCTGGGAACAAACCAACCAAGAGGCGACTGCTCAACAAATATGTCGGAGAAAATGGAGATGGATGGATCGGTCTTACGTTAACATCGCGTGCCAGGACAACAAACTAGTGAAGTCGGAATTGGAAGCGACGAGTGGGTGGTGGGTGTGAGAGTGACGTGGAGGAGATTGTGTGAGAAGGAGATGTGAGACTATGGGCAATCGTGGACCCATATGAAGAGGACAGCAGAAAGTGAAACAAAATGGAGATGTGCTGTTGTAACACTATTTTCCACTTGGAACCCAAGGGAATAATAATATTATCGAATGAAATAATTCTATTCTAGTATTATATTCTACTCGTATATCAATTAATCTTATAACCCTTTCAATCCTTTTACACATTTACGTAAAAGTGTTTTGGCATTGGGGTTGTTATAGGTTTTGTAGCGATTACTACACTTGTATCACATTGTGTAATCTTGGAGGTAGACTATCCAATTAACGAAATCTACTCAAATTTGAGAATTCATGTAATCCTGGTTTAGTGACTTTTGTTTATTATTTTAAATTTGTATCGCAAAAGTAATGCTTTCTACTAGGTAAGTGTTATTTTCAAGTGACACAAACGACGGTGTATGTTGTCTAGATGTTGATTAAGTGACTTGAATGGGTGCATATCTGTGTAAAGTTCTAAGTTGTCTTATCAATCAGTTATTCAGCGTGACTTGTCACTTCAAAATGTGATACTGTTTGCAAATTTGATTTGTATACTTCATGAATATCAATATCACCAAATTTCTTCTACTGTTTTGTCGTTTATAATATTTACAGATGATGTATCCCCAAGTGACTTGGAAAGATTACAAGTTGGTTTGCTTGACTTACAGAAACGTATGCAGCCGGATTCTTCTAACCAGTATTCAAATCAACACCAACAGCAAGTACCCATTGCATTCCCTCGTCAAACTCGTAAGTGTTCTGCACATTACTTTCATTATTATTATTATTAATGTTTCGTAACTTTCATGGGTTGTTTGGTAAGTTTATTTTATCAGACAGAGGGTCACCTCGGATGATACGAGCTGTTGGTGACACAGCGGTTAGGACTCTCATCGACCATGCACATGGTCCAGGGTTCGATCCCTTGCTGACGCACACCCGATATCAATGGTCAGCCTGCAAAATTGGGCTACCGGTATCACATGCTGAAAATTTCATACTTGTACCAAAAATACTGTGTGGTTTCAAGCTATAACCCCCAAAAACGGTCCAATTTATCATGAACATTTAATCACTGTAATTGGTATATTTAATTAATAAAAAGTGTAACCTTGTATTATTGTTGTTTGTCGAATGCATTTGACAGACCAACATTTACCATTTCCGTAACACCCAATGTCTTCTTCCAGAGAAAATATTATTATCATACTACTATTATTGTTCCTTTGGGTTCCGAGAGGAACAGCACGTCTCCATTGTGTCCTATTCTCTACAATCTTCAGCTGGCCCCACAATTACTTACAGTTTTTCATTTCCTCCTCATATGATCTCCATGTCACCTTCAGACGTACGATTTATTGTTCCCTGTTCGGGCTCCATTCGAGGGCCTGGAGCGCGGTTTGATTCGACGGTCTCCTCTGTGTGTGTCTGATGCATCTCTATTTCGTCCTATATATTTATTGAGCGATAGGTTCTTGATTGATTAGTTCTCACAGTTCCTTGGTGCTAATTGTTTCTAGACATGTGATCTTCAATATGCAACGTAGGCATCTATTGAAAATGTCTGCAGGAGACTGAAGGAAATTTTTCGTGACTAGCCAAGTTTCTGACCCATATGGAAAGAATGACTTCACATTTATGCTGAAAATCCGAATTTAGTTTTTACACCGAGTTCAGAAGATTTTCAGGCTGATTTCAGGGTGATAAAGGCCTGTCTTTCCTTCCCGATTCATCCTCTGACATTTTTATCCGTTCCACCTGTATTTGAAACGACGCTTCCTAGATAAGTGAAGGAAGGAAATCATTAAATTTTAAAGGTTTTCTTGTACTGTTTGAATTTTGTAAATAAGCTTATCAAATCTAACTTTTTTGTGCGTAGTATGGCTTGACAGAATTGTTCAAAATGTTTTTATCCTATTCTACGCCTGGAGGTTTCCTCTCCATAGATAACAATCTTTTATTCTTTATTATCAAGGGAAACTATTATTGATGAATTTACTTTTAGAAAACATACTGGGTAGTATGTAAGATAGTGTGGTACTTTTTACGTTCGTTGCGTTCCTAGCGAAGTATCGAACCATCAAGCTTTGAAGTTTCATCAGCAGTGTTGTTTTTACATACAGGGCGGGGTTACTAACATTACCTTCAACCTTCCTTCTTTTCCAAGTTGTCTATCGACCAATAAGCTAGGTAGTACGTGGGTTGTGGATCGAACCTCTATCTACTGCATGACTGGCGAGCATTTTACGGCTGAATCACCGATTTACATATTTGAGTCTATGAAAGATTCAAACCAGCGATCTCTGACATACTAACCTGACTTTGCACCAGTTTACCTATGATGCGGTTAAGTATACAACATATTCAAGTATTGGTTTGTAGGGATTTGGTTGCGCTATATCGTGAATTGGCAGAAGTTAGAATTCATGGGTCATTGGATTGGGTCCCAGTGGCTTAATGGTATACGAGCTCGCTAGCCTTGTAACCAGAAGGTCCTGGGTTCGAATCCCGATGGGTGAGTACTGCTAAGATGAAACAGCCGTCCACTACTCCCAGTTGGTTTTCCAATGGTTCTCTAACTGATGTCAGCTCATGATGAAATCCTGTATACAACATGTGTTTATTTATCAATTATACATATGTATTATAGTATAGCTTTTTCAGTTAACCCGCCTACTTAAAGCGCAATAATTAATTCCTTTTTAACCGGCAACTGTCAAACCGTAAATTGAGATAACCTGAATAACGGATAGAATATATATATATATATATATATATATATATATATATATATATATACAGCACACTAGTTGAATTAATTTCGAGGAAAAAAGACATTCATAATAATATCATTATAGTTCCATTATTAATTCTGTTTTAAAATATAGTATGCATGAATTGACAATTTTCCGGTAGGATTATACATTTTCTCCACTACTTTACAAGTATTTCATTTTATAGTTTTGTAATATATGTAGAATGTTTGTTTAAATGCTTTGTTGATTACTTCATTAATATTTAATATGATAGTATTATCCCTACTGATTTATGTATGTTGAATTGTAATCAAATGAAGTCTAATTATTTAATTATTTGCCTGCTTTGTGGATTAATTAATATTCATGGTGTCTATTTATGTCTTATCTTATTCATTGTTCTTTAACATCATCAGTTTGTGGTAGTAACCTTATTTCTTTTTAAGAAAAATTAGAAAAAGGAATGTTATAACGGGATAAAGTTAAGTATATATGGGGAATAGGAAAACTGGTACGTGAAGAGATAATGACTTTCGCATTAATGCGCACTAAGGATGAAGATATGATTGATGTTGAAGTTAGAATTCATTGGTCAATGGATCGGGTCCCAGTGGCTTAATGGTCTACGAGCTCACTAGCCTTGTAACCAGAAGGTCCTGGGTTCAAACCCCGGTGGGTGCGTACTGCTAAGATGAAACAACTGTCCACTAATCCCAGTTGGTTTTCCAATGGTTCTCTAACTGATGTCAGCTCATGATGAAATCATTCAACCAATCAAACAAAATCCCTACAAAACCAATACTTGATGTTGAAAACTTGAAATCGGAAAATTGGTGTGAAAGTATTTTGTATAATTACGGTAAGTAATTGTGTCGTTAGTTAGGTGGTAGAATGTTCACAAGAGGTCCGAGTTCGATTCAACGCACGCCCTAACTTTTTATAATTTACTAGCCAAGGGGGAATCTGGAAAAGAAGAGTGGTTGGATATGAGGCCATTAGACCCTCCACGTAAAAACAACACTAATACTGAAAATCCAAGGCTTGAAACCCTTATAAGTATAAAACTTGGGCACTGTGGTAGAGTATAACCCCATTATAGGTAAGATTTTATTTTCATAAATGATTATGAGCAATAGTCTGTGCTCGAAACGTCATCAGTAAATATCATTGTGTAACACTGTGTGATTTATCAAAATAAAATCTTACCTAAAATGGACTTCAAACTCCTAGTTCCATTCGGAGTGAGAAAAGTAGTAAATATTTTTACTAACTGCTTTGTTTGTTGGTGGCTGGTCTGTGTTGAAATTAGGTTACACTAGCCTGCTTAGGCCAATGCATTGGATGATGACCTCAGTAGCGCAATGGTAGGTTAACAAATACCATGCGTGATCAGCAGGAGGTCTAGTGGTGTTTACACCTATTGTATCAACTTTCAGTTGTTATATGGTTCATTTGAATTCTGATACAACTGTCAGAGAGAAGATACCATGTGACTTAACGGTGTTTTGAGTATGGTGAAGTGTGTGTGTGTATGCAGGTAAAAGATATGTTATAATTTACTCAAAGGTGGAGGTGATGTATTCCTTTGAAGCCAGCTAGTTCAGTTTGTATACTCGGTGGTTCAGTGGCAGAATGTCCGCCAGCCACGCACGCGGTCTGTGTTTAGTTGTTCGCCGACTCACTTCTAACCCTCACCTAGTTCACTAGCCTGCAGTTGGCCGTGAATGAGAGAAAGTTGAGCATGAGGCTAGCAACCCCACCTCATTAAACAATATCGTCACTAATGAAACTTCAGGGCTTAAGCTTAAAGTCCTGTGTTACACTTGTAACATAAAGGAATAAAAGAATGCTTGGAGGATAATAATGAGCGTAAACCTCTCCCGATGTTAATTCGAATTTTCCGTCATTACTCAGAACACAACTAATTGAGATTATTATATAAGTGATGAAATCTGTGCCTGTGTTTTTATATGAGAATAGGTAGAAATTGTTTGTCTCACAAGTTACTCAGACAACTCCAAATGACTGTCCAGTCGTGTACTTATCCTTCAGTTATTACCTTTGAATTTTCATCTCTGTAGTATTCTTCAGCCTACTTTTCAGTCTTGGCTTCTATTCTTTCTTGAAAAGTACACATTTTCGTACCATAGTCTCTGAAATGATTAATACCTCAGTGTCCATTTATTTTCGAATTTTCGTATACAATGGTACGTTGTATTCTATTTTGCATCACTGTACTTTGTTTTCTTCTTTCGTGATGACTCCATTGTTTAATGTATCCATAAATTTATTCACCTTTTCTCTAAGGTCATTTTAGAAACATCCATTATTTGACAGGCTGTAATTTATCAATCAACCTTTGTCATTGTTATTGTTTGTTTCTCTTACCGACGTTACGTTTCTCACCGTTAGACATCTTTGTATTCTGTGCTTGTTATTTCCATTAACTGCACCTCTGAAATGATTGCAATTAGTATATTTTGCTTGTGTGTATGTGTGCGTGTGTGCGCGCACGCGCTTGTCTAAAGAAGTGGGTGGCTGTTATCAATCAAGTAAGACAATCACTACTACTATCCTGCTTATATTTATGCTTTTTTATCAAATATAAAGCATTGACTTTATATCAGATTGATTAGTTTTTCGATTCAGTTAACAGTTGTTGTTGTTGTTGTAATGGAAGTTATAATTCTAAATCTTTACTCTATTTGATGATGCATAAGGAATATTTATATTCTCTGCAATTAAATATGAATGTTTTTATTATACAAGTCTAACTGTATACTCTGTAAGTGGTATGTGTGTGTTTATTTTCTTCGTATTATATTATGTAACAGTCGTTTTGTTCATCTTATGTGGAATATTTGTTCACTGTGATTTCATTATTTAAGTACACTGTATATATTTTGACGTAGACTACTGGGAAGAAACACAGTACCATGAGCGTTTATACATGATACACTTGTATCATATAAACTCATCACTCGTTAACTCTCGCCGTCTGCCTATTATTCTCTATTGTTCTCCTTTAGTTTTTCCAGGGCTACTGAAAAAAGACTATATCTTATTACGTAGGATGTCAGAGGTCGTCAGTAGGGTAAGCTACGTACCACTTAACCAGCTTGTTAATATTCTGGTCGACAGGCAATTGGACTCATGTGAAAAATGGGCTAAATCCATTCTATCTAACTCTCACCACCCTCTTCATTCACAACTCCCCCCTTGTATGTCATCAGACAGAACCAGAAGCCTATATAGAAAGCTATATGCTCGCACTATCAGGTACAAAAACTCAACCATACCCTACTTAGATATGATAGAGAAGATTTGTAGCTCAGGTGGATAATTTTGATGTGGTTTTGTTCTCTGAGCTGGATAGTTAGTTGAAGTATGCGCTGAAGATGTCACCCAGTAAGGTGATGAAAGCTTCGCAAACTAACTATCCAGCTCAGAGAACAAAACCACATCAAAATACCCTACTTAGCTCGTATTCAGTGCGATAAAGAAAGCATTAGGCGTTATGCCCATAACTTATTAAATAGTCAGTAGAACAACTGGATCTCGTCTTTCCAACTCATATCATTTACAGGTAAAACGTTTTCTTTCTTTCTTTTCCTTTTCTCTTTTTTTCTGTTATGTGCCACTTTGTTTCTCTCTTCCTTACAAACTCTATTTAAAACATTATTCTTCGTTCTCTCACATTCTGTATATCTCGACCTTTTTGTTACCGTTTAAGCCAGTAAATATGCTAGCATCTACTTTTGTAACACCTTCAAACACTCTGTTCAATTTTGGCTTTGCTACCGATATGCTAACATGTTGTTGTCATAATGAATTGAGATTACCTTAATCTATGTAGAATTTTATTTATTGTTAATGTACTAACTGGATGCAATACCGAAGTAAAATGGTGAGAATTCCATTCTGTATCACAAGCACTGTCTTGGAATAAAGTAAATTATTATTATTATTATTATTGGAATACATGTAGTACTATAAATAGGTGATGTGTGAGAGGTTTTTAAAATTTTAACTTCCGTAATTTTTATGGATTATAGATTCTAATTCTATATTGTCGAAAGTCTTAAGCATGTAAATCTCATTGACACTGATTGTGATACTTAATGCATGTAAGTGTGTACTGCGACAAATATACCATTCGAAGAACTATCATGTTAACACCTGAACTTGATAAGTTTTTAGAGTAAACGGCTTAATTCAGTGATCAGTGTATCTTCCTCTATGTTGTAGGTAGTTAGAAGTTTATCGTATTATATATCATATATAACAGGATATTGATTTTTTACCAATCGTATACATCTTTGTGTGAAAGGTTTATTGTATTTTCTTTATCGACAAAATCATCTTCAGAGGATGTAGAATCGTATTTATATTTACTGAAAACGTATAGTAATCCATTATTGAGTAATAGGGGGTGGGGTGGGGTGGGGTGAGATAACTGATATAATTACTCAGAAGTGGTTTAAAAAGTAAAATTCAAAATCACGTAATAGTCAGTGGCACAAATAAAGAAAGGGCTGACAATTTGATAAGGTTAAAATTTTATTGAGTGTGAAGAAAGGTAGTTGAGTGTCTATTTAATACCCCCTACCCCCACCTTCTATTACCCACTATGGACTACTATTCATTTTTGGTAAATTTAAATACGATTCTACAGTCCGTGAGGATGATTTCGTCTATAAAGAAAATTTTCTCCTCTGAATTGTCTTTTATCTTCTTCAAGATGTCAGTATGTTTTTGCTTTCATATTGGCTGAATATATTTCTTCTCTAAAATTGTGACACAATGCTGTATATATACTCACAAAGTGAAGAGGTATTACTGTTTTTGACTTTTTCATGAAATCAGACAGCAGAAATTTAATCAAAAGTTTATTATTCGACCTTCAATGCTGGTTGCTACATTTACAGTGATAGTGCTGTATTAATAGTCGAAAGAAACCTCAGTGAAATTTCATATCGGACAATATAAAATGAACTGGCTTATCTGTGTGTACCTTTGCACAAGATGGAAGACATTTAAATCACACTGGAGAAGACAAACTTCTTAATCTTGATATTTGTTGTATATATACAACCAGCTGTAACCTTTACTAACCTTCTAAAAAGTGCATCCGTTTCTTTGTGGGTCAGGGGATAATTGCATGTATTAGTTTTAGGATTACTACAGTTATCCATATATTGTATATGATCTGGGGTACTATAGCTGATTTAATGAACCATTCACGGTTTCAGCGTTTAAATGACATTCACTTCGACATGCATGGCTTAATCTCTGAGACTAGCATATGACTACTGGTAGGGTAAACTCGTTTATTCACATAATGATACACTCATTGACTGGGCACTGGTTTTCAGGAGAACCGAACACACCTATCCCCTGCCTTTTGCGAGAGGAGACCGGCATATAGAATGATCCTGTGGCACAACCACCCTATAGTCTTATCTCTCTTTGGACCATTCACACCGTTAGTACATACAATAATGCATAGGTAAGCATAGTTAAATCGATCAATGATCGCGTCAATCAGTTATGCATTGCATAGACAGGCCCAATAGAGCTCATCTTTCATATAAGACTAACCAAATGCTTTAATATGGGTAAGAGTAGCAGACACAGGCCCCCATAAACGATGCCAGCACCTACCAAATTTAATGAAATAGTTATCACTGCCAACCAATTTAGAATGCGAATAGCCGCTATAAGTCTGCCAAAAATATAGAAAACCATCCATAGTCATATAAGCGAGCGATGAGAACGGCATAATTTATGTCCATATCTTCCATATAGCTTCTGCTATGGTTACAATAGGATTTATGGGTAATGAGCAAGGCAGTCTAGCTGAGCGTTATTAGGCCCAAACAAGCTTAACAGCCCATGAATTTTCTATTCAACATTTTATTTAACTGTAACATGTCTTGTTGGAAGTATACTTCCTTTTGCTATTAGTCTGATAATATTTCTAGATAGGTAGTCGTTGAATTTGTGAACATTTTACTCTAATAAGAGTAAATATTGCTGTTTTTCGGTTTGAGACTTGAATGTTACTTTACAAGGAGGTATTATTAGTCATCATTATTCCCTTGGGTTCCGAGTGGAACATAGGGCTTTGGCAGCACATCTGCATTTCATCCTGTTTTTTGCCGTACTCTTTAGCTGGCTTCACAAGGAGGTATTACTGTCTATGATATGTACATGTTTCTATTTGAACAAACCATCGGTGAATTTACTACTAATATTATGAAACGTCAGAAGCTATGGCAATTTACCTATTAAATCCTGAACTCTGCATATGGAAGAAACCTTTTTAGTCGCTGAATTTGCAACGAACCTGATTTATTTCAATGTTTGGTTTTTATTTTATTAATCTTAGTTTTTTAAAGTTTTATTACTTTTTCTCCACTTTTACTCCTTATGACACTGATCTTAACATGATCCTCTGTCAATTTTATTCGAGCTCTACTGAATTCTGTCATTTATGTTATTCTGGTCAGTTATGAGTTCGAGTCCCGCTCTGCCTACTTTAGCCTGCGTGACTACTGGGTATTAGCGTTAGCCTTCACACGATAAGTGTGACTTTTAGCGTGGTACATGAAAAAAATGCTTAACCCAGTCCAAACAAAAGCAATGTTATTTCACTCAATTTAGTCGTTTATTTCAGCTTCTATCCGATTAATTCATTCTGAATTATGTAATTGAGAAACCAGAATTTCAACTACACCCTTGAAAATATTCTTTTTGCTGCTATAATAGTGTACTACATATATATGTATTTAACTGTACAACTTGAGAATGATATTGCTAAAAAGAGTAACTCTTCGCTGAACACCTCTTATTTTGTTATAGCTTATTGAGGATTTTTAAGCTACTTATGAAAAATTGTGTCAAATTGTCAGTTAAGTTGCTTTGTTCGATTTATTATTGTACTCGCAGTAAATGTTTTAAGTAATCTGTTTTGTATTATATTCTTGATAATTTACTCTTTATTAGTCCATCGTGCTCAATCTCTAATGACTGGTCTTACTGCACCTGGAAATGAACATATAAACAGAGTGGATTGGTTGAATCCACCAAATGTTATACCAACTCCTGTAATTCAATCTACAGGTGTAAATCATCAACTCTACTGTAATGTCCCTGAACATCATGATTTAGAAGATTGTCTTGGTCAATTACAATACAGGATAGAAGAGTTATCTGGTCAACAGGATAGTACTCAGGTAAAATATATTTACATTGTGTATTGTGATAACTGGTTTATGACTTATTTTTAAATAAACGTTTTTTTTCAAATGTTGATTTGTAAGGATTTGACTGATTTACAGTTTGATCACTGATGAGGGCAGATGCTCTACCGATGACATTTGTTGATGGCCATACTATGTATCGCATATTCGCGGGATTTATAATTCATAGGCCTTTTTTATTTTGATTTTTGATCTACAGCTTGATTCCACACTGTATTTTTGGCACAAGCATGGATATCGGTAGCCTAAATTTTGCAGGCCGACCATAGATATCAGGTGTGCGTCGGCAGGGGATCGAACCTCGGACCATGTGCATGGTCGGAGAGAGTCCTAGCCAATGTGCCACCGACGCACATTCTGTCGCACTGACTGGGTGGTATACAAACGAGCCTTGTAACGCTAAGGTCCTGGGTTTGATTCCTGGTGGGGGTCATAGGTGCGTACTACTGAAGATTTCCGTCTAAGGTGAAACAGCTTCCCAGTATTTCCTGATTTTCAGTGGATCTCTTAATGAAGTCAGCTAATAACAAAACTTAAACGTTTTCTGTACACCTTATTCTGTTTAAATTAATTCTCTTATATTAAACTTACATTTAATCCGTGTTGATTGCGTTGAAATGATGACCTGGCTAGCATCTGGAGTCTCATAGATCAGATGGTAGTGCATTGGACCGGTAATTTGGAGGCCGTTTGTTCGAATCCTGTCTATGACCCAAGTTTTCAATACACCTTGAATCATCATCGATTATATCAACAGATAATCTAAAATTATCTCAGGAAGTCTGCCTATCTTGTAAACGTTTTTCTTCTTTCTTACTTAATTACTTCATTTACTCTGTAAACAGTGTTCATTGTCACACTTAGATTTAATAAAAAAAAAAGCATGAAAATGCATTCTCGCCTTAAACTAATCTATACTTTTATGTCAACCGAGATATATTTCACTCCACTTGAGTTTTAACGGAGGAAAACTAGTTGGTGTATCTTGCTTAACTCTACAGAAAACCAATCATGACCTGAATGGTTTCCTCGTAATCTTAGATATATTGTTCCTGATGATATAAACATTGAAAGAAAGAAACGTTGATTTGTCACAGGATTTCATTATGAGCTGACATTGGTTAGAGAATCATTGGAAAACTTAGGAGTATTGGACAGCTGTTTCGTTCTAGTTTGGGGCTCTTCATCAGTACCCACCCACCGGGGCTCGAACCCAGGACCTTCTGGTTGATTGATTTCCATCAATTTTCTATACAGCGCCTACTCCTCTATTACTCGTTAATAATATAAGCTGCACTCATCATTCGGCTTTAAATATTAATACTTATTTTTACAATTAAGATAATTAAACGTGTACTGTTCAAGTTCTGTAGAAAAAGATTAAATCATAGTGTTTAAATGTTGTGCTTGTTAAGAATATACTTAGCTCTAATGAAGATGTCTTTACTAACTGATACTACTTAGTCAATGATTTAAAACTAGGCAGCATTGGGCAGTTGTCTTTTTTTTTTACTGATTGAGGACTCTTCTGAAGTGCTACATGCATAACTCCATTTGGAGATTGAACGCTGGCGCTTTTAGCCTACGAACTGAGCGTTCTCACTACATATCCGCTTTTTCGATGTTCAGGCGTTCATTGGTCCCAACTTCTGTTAATTCTACTATATATAGCGTCACATACACAACCTGCTTTTCCATGACACTTTGGTTATTGCATTCACACCATGTAGAGGAGGGAAACACATTTTTCTTGCTGTATTGTGATGCAAACTTTTTCTTGTTGTTGTGGTCATGATCAGAGAAATTTTATTCAGGAGTACAGATATTATTTTATTTCGACTAATAAATTTCTAAACTTTCATTTTGATTAGTAGTCTTAAATTTGTTGAAGATATCACATAACGCTACATTCAACATTTAGTCTTTTTTGCCTTCACGTTCCCCAGTAGAACATATGGCTTCAAGCTAGTGGCATAAAGTTTCGGTAGCAGTGTTTATTTTACACGATGGGGTTGCTAGCCTCATGCCAAACCTTTCCTCTTTACCAGCACTATTTCTGGCTTAGCGAGGTAAAGGAGTGAGTCGGTGTCCGGAGATCGAACCCCAGACCATGTGCGCATGGTCGGCGAGCGTCCTAACCGCTATGCCACCGACGCCATCATTCAGTCTTAATTTAAATTTATTGGCTTTTATGCTCTGAACAAAAGAATTAATTACAATCAGTTAGGGTAGAAATTTGATATTTACACTTAAACGTCATGTCAATGGTTTAACCTAATTATCAAACATTTTTGTATGTATATATATTCCCTTTTTAAATGAAACATTCCGCTACTTTTTTGAGTAGAAGTACATTAAACTGTGCCGCTATAAAAGTAAAAATTTTTATTCTTGATCTATTTGATGATATCTTTCCATTTGAAATTATACCATTTTTTTGTCCACTCACATATTGGCTTTCCCTTTCAAGTATGCAAACACCCACACACATCTATAGTATACACATACGCATACTTTCACTCCACTAGTAGACTACTCTATTTCTAAAAAGAAATTCTAGTTGCTTATGGCTATTTCTAAAGAAAAGTATTCTTAGTCATAGTACTGTGGGCGAGGAAGCATTTACTGTCAAGTTATCTATCTTTGTTGTCCTGGTGATAGTATTTGTAAAGTAGTCCTTTCTTAGTATAATTATGAAATTTGCCTTAAACCATATGTGTATACATATACCCAATTTTGTGTTTACGTTACCTTATTTTTCCCTCTTTTTGAAAGACTGTATTTTAACTAAAATAATTTATTTCATGAGCCTTGACATATCCGTCTGTTTTATACCTTATTATATGTGTTGTGTCTATGGCTAACACAGACTACTAATGCACTTGTATGGTGCTTTTCCTGTCATTTGAAAGTTGTAAGGTTTTTTTTAACAATACCTTTCTTTTTAATATAAATACAATGTCAGTGTCTCTATTGTAAACATAGAATAGTTCCTTCTTATCCTGTAACTATAAGAGATATATTGATTAATGATAGAATGTGATATTGGGTGTCTGATTAAATTATCTTACTACAACCACCGCCCCCCCCCCTACAGATTAAGTACATAACAGAATTTATTTTGAGACACAGGGAAGTAAAAACACTTCCTGATGTGCATTTTTTCTCTGCATAGACAGTAATGCAATTATTTTGCCGAATTCTAGTTATCTCGTGGGAATCCGATGAAATGTATGTGGGTTAAACATGGTATACAATGCTGTCTGAAAGTGAAAGGCAACTCTTATAACTAACACGATGTTATTTTTTGGTGGATAGTGATTATCAGTGAACAGACACCGTCGAATCGGCCTTACTAGGGACTGACACATCAAAAGAGGCCGAACACTTCAGTCCAATTGGTCAACGGTAAAATCAAAATTGTCTTTAAGCAAATAACAACTGATACCTTGTGCACAAGAGGTGGCCCAAGTGGTCCAACGGATGACGAAAGGTACTTGATTTGAGTCCCTGTGGGAAGACCGCCACTCACTGAGGACTGCAGCTGTATCCAGATGATGAGCCCCTAGTAGGACTAAAAGCGCATCCTGAATTACACTGCTTGTCACCATCCACCAAATGACACACTTTTTTGATTGTTAAGAGTTTTCTATGGACGTTAATAAAGTTTACTAACTTCGACTGGGACACTGTTGTGCTAATTTCTTATGTGGTCTTTCGAATTATATCATTCAACTTACTCCAGCCTTTTACACTTGAAATAGCAAACTTAAAAGAATCTTAAAAATCACTTTGATATTGAGTGTACTATCACTCTGTAGAAACGTAAAAACTTTAATATCACACAAAAAACTCCAATTCAGGACTATCGACTCGCAAAATTAAATTAAAAAGATAAAGTTATTTTTGATGAAAAATGACTTAGTCCAGTGTGTTCTATAGTTATTTACTGGCTTATTAACACTGATATCAATCTATTCAAATCTTCGCCTTACCCCACAACTATTTTGTTTTGGATTATCCCTTTTTTGTTGATATGCGTTTCAAGCATTGCCCATAACGTGCTTAGTTTTAGTGTGGATGACAATATTACAGTAGTGTTAAGCGTGTATAAGTGTTGTAAATATCTTTAATCCTCCTTAAGCGACAGATATATTAAACAGTATAGTTCCCGACTGAATTTATACTGCTAATATTTTAGTCCTACCAAATAAACGAAGTATACAGATGATTTTCAATATTATTGTTTGTTTATTTTCATCTGTATACAATGTCACCATGGTTACAATAGATAAATCAGTTGTTTTAATGAGAAATTGATTTATCAAAAATCAGATTAACGTTTATATCATCGTTGTAACTTCCTTTACGATGAGAAGGAAACCAGAGAAAGAGGTGGACTTTCATATTTCAACAGTACAGTAACCGGAAGCTGATTTAGAAAAAGAAATCCAAATAATTTGTAGACTGACTAACGAATGATTGTATATATGTCTGGAATGTAAAATCTTTATTCTCACAGTCTGGTTAGTTGTGTTTAGGGTATTTGAAATGTTTATAGTTGAATGGAAAAATTCAGTCAATGATTTTGTAGGGTAACACACTCTCAATGCAGTCGTCATCATCATCATCATCAATGACTATGAGTTCAAAAATGTGTTTTTAATCGCTGCGATGTACTATCCGACTATCATGGCTTACAACATTAGTAAATGTGTCTTTCTTATCTCTCAGTCTGTCCCTAAGACTCACATATTTAACTTCAACACGTTAATTTATAACTACGATTTTTGTTGGTAAAATAATGCCACTTTGGAAATACTTGTGTTGACTAATGTCTGCGTTATATTAAGATTGGGGAGGGAATGATTTCCACTGTGTTTGGTTTAAGTCGTGTGTAGAAGGAAGTATAAGTAAGATAAATGATCAGGATGAATGTAACAACTGAAATATATGATAGAAATCTCTTTGAG